GTGATGCGTAGCACCTGCCGCAACGTGAGCTACGTCTGATGGCTCAGAAAAAAGACAGCAGCACATCTGCAGCTTGTTCCATCTCATCACAGCAACGAGTGGCTTCTTCGCAGTGACTATCTCAGAATGCCGTTCTTACTTCGCAAGCTTCAATGGTTCAACAGTTCCGGCAAGTTTTACAGAGGCTGCCTGATTGGTTTGCTTGCCAGGAAAAGGTGAAAGACCAGCTCATGCTTCTCATTGCGCGTATCGGAGCATTCACAATCCTAGCATGCACATGTTAACGTTACTGCTCAAAAAATCAAAGAATGAAGAGACGCTTGATGACTCTGCATTTGCAAGTGTTCGTGACGTTTTCTGGAGAGAGACGTTTTATTACAGCGATTTGAGAGTGGCGCGCCCAAGCTTGTACAGCATTCCATCCTGCATGTTGGAGTGCGCATGCGCCTGCAGGTGGGAGAAGGAATTATTTAATTGCGCACAGATCGGCTTGACCCTCGGCTTTTCGAAATTTTCTGGCGCGCCACACAGTAGTTGGCCCTATTCTTGATACTTGGACACTGAAAGCACACCTGACAGAACATTACTGGGCAGAATATATACCATTCTCAGGTAGCGTTCTTCAAAGAAATGTCTGTTTTGAAGAAGGCCTGCTGCTTACTAATTTTGTCCACTGAACGGTGCCTCGCAGTGTGGCGATTTAAGCAGGGAATATTCATGTATTCCCAGCAGCTCGTTAGGTGGTGATTACTCATTTTAAAGTGTGTATTGATGCCTCTATCTTTATGGCAAGTTTATCATCACGTCCAGATCTGCGGAGCACCAGTTGACGCGGTGTGGAGCAGTGATCCAAACATAGCTGCAGCAAGCTTTCTGAAACGAACGTTATATCGTGCTCTGCGCAATGTGTTGACGGTGTGCACGCCTTCCTAGCACATTAAATACCCTTCTCCGACCGATCCAGTATTCATTTCAGAGCTGCGCGATTCGGGTTCCTAGCAGTACCTTCATTTATGGTGAAGTATTTAGGGCAACCGCATGATAATCAAGCGGAGCAAGTGCACTCACAAATTGCCACAAACACGAGCAAAGTTAGCTGAGCCTGCCATGGAAGAAAACTAGGAACGTAGCTCTGAGAGACCGATGAAGAGCCTATCCTGCTGCACATGCTTTTATCTGTCTAGAGGCCTCCTCCTGTAAGACCACTAACCAATTCACGTCGAAGATTTCCTTCAGAAGGCGACCCGGTTAAACGCCAGTTTTTTCTAATGCTAACTTTACAGAAATCGTCACAGTAAACATCACGAGAAAGTGTTATCCTCTCCATCTTGCAGGAACATGCGTCGTCTAACATTTAAGAAAACAAATGAGTTGATCGGATACCAAACAAGTTTATCGAACACATCGATAACCACTGAGGCGGTAAATTTTCTCAGTCAAGTATTATGCCTGCTGATTACCGCCAAATATACTAATGGAACACTCACCGAAGGTAGAACAAACTAAGAACTAGGGTAGATGGCTTGTCTCTTGTAGGCTAGCATGCACATGTGACGTAATAGTAGTATATTACTCCTTGTTCCTTCTTGTCAAACCCAGAGGGTGCATAGTGCAAGCCTCTGCGGCGTAGCTAGAAATCCAAGCAAACTAAAGGCTCAAAATTTCAAGTACAACATTTTGAGTTTACCGCTTAAACGCACTGGAATTTGGTGGAGTGTAGCCCTAAGATCCAGTGCTGTGATTCTGGAGATTCGCAGCAACGCACAAATTGCTGTCAATATCCGGCACAACGAGACGCATATGGTTCCAAAAATATTTCAAATTCCTCAAGCAAGCGGTACACCGAGCCACGGTGCAATTCAGAGTCAGTTTACGCATTACAGTGCTAGTTCAAGGGAAGTGACCGCAGAAAAAGCGTGATTCACGCAACTGGGCTACCGCTACATATAGCTTTGAACACCACAACCAATTCGGCATTACTCCGTTGTGGCGTAGGAATATTGCTAGATACCAAAAGTAATGCAGCGCGACCGAAGAGTGCCTTAAATGTGCTACGGTGGCTAGACTCACCCTAAAGGCGTGCCCCTTTGTGAAGTGCTACGGACCTACTAAGCCAACCCGAAAGGCAAGGTGAGTGAACAGTGCATCGTTGGAAGTATTACAACAAGTCCGAAGTCTGTCTTGACGGCAAACGTCGGCAAACTCATTCTGTAGGGAGTTGGCTCATGCGTCAGTGTTTCAGGTGCCCAAAATAGCATTGTGTACAATATCTGTAGGGGCTTGTTGTTAACCAGGTATCCATGGAAGCATGAAAAGTGCTCTGTAGCTACACAAAATTAGCCATCAGGTAAAATAAAGACATCTATGCTCAAAACAAGCGGCGAAGTCACTTAATTAGATAATGTTACGGCCTCAGTGTGCTTTACGCCCTTTCGTTCCACGTCCCCTACCAGCGCACGAGCAGAAGCCCAAGAATCCTTCACTTGAGAGCGAGCTCCGCTATTCCACAAGTGTTCACCCGTACTGTTTATTGTGTTTTCTAGGGAGTGAAAGACACCTTGGAAGGATGCGAGACGTGAAAGCATGGCGCCATCCAATTAAGCGGGCCAACAAGAAAATTCGGGCACCTCACATTGCAGTCATTAGCACGAAGTACGTAGGCATCCTTAGTGCAGTCTTTGCTGCACGGGGCTCAAGCTCATATCGACCTGCAAGTGAATATCTTTAGCGTCCCTTACTCTGCGCACGTTTGAGTGAGTAAAGCATTGCTTCATTTACCTACTTTTTGTGGATACTGCTTGACTGGCTCCCGCCTGAAAGCAGTGCCTCGAGCCCTTCGGCTCTTCCTTCACCTAACAGAGTTCGCTCCCCTAAAATCAACAAGTTTCCCGTCTCCACAGCTATGTATTCTACGTACCTTAATTGTAGTGAAGCGTACCAGTAAACTTCAGGCCCTGCTGCCTATGTTACGCTTCCCCGGTAAGACTTTGCTTTGGCATGCCATGCAGCGAGTGGGATTAGCGCCTGCGTAACAGACAGGTCACTGAAGCAACAGGACAGCACTTGCCAGAGATGGTTATAAAGCGAGCGCCCTGCACATCCTCAGTGAGCCTCTAAGAAGACCAACCAAAAGCTGAGATCAAAGGTTTGTTCAAGTCGCACAAAATCCATCAGGCTACAGCACTGGCCTCAAAAGGCCGTGGCACAGCCACATAAGTAGTTGCGGATGCACCATCTCGAAGCCACTAACCCAAGTGCTCCCAGTAGCTGCTTTGATAATGCGGTAACTTCCTAATAGCGGCCGCCTCGCTAGTGCTAGCGGACAAATTCAAAAGCCGGCTTCCAGTACTCGGGGAGCCAGGAGTAGAGAACAAACGCAAAGTCTGCGTGTACGCGGACTCCCCGTTTACGTGCAACCTGTAGTGCGCAGGCACTACAATAGGGCTCACAGCTAGCTAGCCAGGGTAGCTAGCGGGTGACCTATAACGAGGTTAGTACGCAGCCTATAACGAGGTCAGCATGCAGAACGAGCGCAGAAATACCTTACTAGTAGCAAATTCTGGCGATTTATATGAAAGATAGCACGTGTAAACTAGAAGTGTCTGTAAAAACGCTAGGATTGGGGCTGGCGCTAACGCCAGCACCGGTGTCGGCCACCGCCCTAACCGGGCCAAGGAAGCAAGAACTATGACGGGGACACTTTTAAGAAAGTTGGATTTAAAATTTTGAAAGATGACGGTTTATTGATTATTTGGTATGATTTTATAAGGTATGAGTCGCATGTAGATGATCTGGCAGAAGGGTGCCCTGTTTGTGGGCCAAATAGCACCGTAGTAGCAGCAGATAAAGCTGCGCACTACATTTGGCGACTGTTCCGGGAGTGGAACCTTTTTTCCCGATCTGAGGATAGAAACACTTCGTCAGCGCGGGCTTCTGCAACGGTTCGGTAAAGCAGTGTCACAAAGTCAATTACCAATGGAGTTGCCTAAGGTACGGTGGAATGGCAACCCTAATGAATACAAGGACCAGTTTGCGGCTGTAGCGGAGCGTGGTTTGGGGGTCGCCTCCCACGAGCTGGCTTACTACTACTGCACTGGGCTACCGACGGACCTCCATCTTCACATAGCCAATAACGGGCATGTGAACTACCCCTTTTGAGGTCAAGCAGCGACAGCCGCAGCGCGATTTTACGAGCCTAAGCAGACCTGCTAGAGCTACGAGAAAGGAACTTTAGTACACCGGGTTCTCTAAAGGACCTGTAGTAAACCGCGTCCTCTGCAGAGTCCACGATGCTACCTGGCCTACAACTTGGGCATTCTATGAAATCCTCTCTACTATCAGCGCGTCTGTAGTACACTGCGTTCTCTACAGTGTATACGATGCTGCACGACCCACAACTCTGGCACTCTATGAAAGACGTTTTTGTTTCAAGTTCCCGAAACCATATTTCATAAGAGTCATTTCTTATCATTCTTGCTTTGCTGGTCCGGTGAGGATGTGACGCGCACCGGTGCCGGCGTTGTCGGCAGCCCCAATCTTAGGGCATTCGCGGTCATTTCTAGTTTATACATGTTAATCTGCCAATAAATTGCCCTTCTATTTCACTAGTAAGAAGTTTCAGCGCTCAATCCGCGTCTCAACCTCTTAACCGCTTATAGGTCATCAGTTAGCTACCTTCTATAGGTCACCAGCAAGCCCCATTGTAGTTCCTGCGCACTACAGATTCCCCCCTTGCCGGATTGAACCGGCCTACCGAGAACACATTAGTTCTGCATTTTCAGTCTCCATTTCCTTCTGAAGCTAATGCCATGAGCGCATGCGGTGCGCAGCGCTTCCTCCCGCCCCTCGTCATTGAAGACCCTCATGTGGCGGAAGTTGACGGACCCAAACCGCTACGCCTTGGAAGGAGCAAGATGGTTTCGAGCCTGAAGACATCTTCTCTGGCGGCGGTGCCAAGCACGGAGCAAAGCCTGACATCCTGAAAGGTGGTTTGCGAGCTCCTACGTGGCTTGATCTTCGGGGGTGCCGCTCCACTTGACGAGGTACTGGGCGTCGGCGCCTGAGCCGCGTTGGTCCATAATATAATCAACTTCATACTCCTCTATCAAATTGCCTGTGCATGGCGGATAGGCGGCCAGGCGGTATCGGCTTCCTGGGGAACCAAGTCTGGAGGGCGGGGGCGGTGGGGAACTAACTGCGAAACATGAAAAACGTTGTGGCATTCGTAAGTAGGAGGTAAAGCAAGACGGTAAGCGATGGTGACTATTCGTTCAATGATTTCAAAGGGTCTTCGGTAACGGGGCTCGAACTCAGGGCAGCTAGATGAAACCGGTAGATGCTTGCTGCTGAGCCAAACCTTGTCGCCACTGCATACTCCACAGCTCGGCGCTTTGTGTCTGCGTAATAGCTCTGCTCAAGTTTTGCCTTCTGTATGTGACTCTGCGCTTTGTCGCAGAGCTGCCGGAAGAGCTTAGTCATTGGAGGAGTGAGCGTAGGGGCTAACGCGCCTACGATGTCAAGATTCGCAGCAGTCAGCGCGTTCTCGCCGACCATAAGCTCGAAGGGAGAGAGTTTGGTGGGTGAATGGCTTGCCGTGTTGTAGACAAGCTCCACGGCCGGAAGCAAACGCTCCCACTCGCGTTTGTCAGATTGGATGTAGGTACGAAGCAGCTGCTCCAGTGTGCGGTTAACCCTTTCAGTTTGACCTTCACTTTGCGGATGGTAGGACGAGAACATGGCGCGTTTGATGTTAAAGCGGCGACATAGTTGTTGCCAGAGGGCCGACTGGAAGCCGGGGTTGCGGTCCGATATGAGTACCTCTGGAAATCCATGGTAACGGATAAGACGGTCTGCGAGAAGCTGCACGGTGTCTGCTGCTTTGAATGATTTCTTTGCAGGAACGAAATTAGTCATCTTGCTGAGGGAGTCGACCATCACGAGAATCGAGTCTTGCCCTGTCGTTGTAAAGGGAAGATTCGTGATAAAATCGATGCTCACGTGTGCCCACCGACGCGAAGGGATGAGTAGCTGTTGAAGAAGGCCTGCAGGTTTTTGGCTTGGAGACTTAGACGTACGACAGTGAGTACAGGATTCACCATACGCAGTAGTGTAAGCACGCATCCCTGGCCAGTAGTGCTTGCTCAGAGCCGTGAAGGTCTTCTTTTGGCCTCGATGGCCGGCGGTCACATGGTCGTGATGTGAATGCAAGGCATGCGTAAGGAACTCAGGGAATTGTGGAGCACAGATTCGCCATAGTCCATGAATACAAGTGTGCAAGTAAGGCGGCACATAGCGAAAGGTGACGTGACGATTGCGAAACTCTATCTGTATAGCGCCTCCTGGTTGTTTTGCAGCGACTTCGTAGGAAGCGCGCAAAACAGGACACTTCGGGGAGGCTTGCGGCCATTCAGGCGCCTCAGGAGGGTCAGCTAGTGTCTCCGTTGCAGGTATAGGATGTTCCGCCTCTCGATTGGGCTCAGGCGGCTGAGTTGAAGGTGGTGATGGCAAGGTGCATTGTCTGGATCGTCGCGAACGAATGCGGGCGAGCTCCCTGTAGTTAGCAGGCCGACCACGAGAGCGAGGAGCCGAGAGCGGGAAGGCGAGACAAGGCATCTGCCACTCGGTTGCGCGCTCCTTGAACATAAGTGATGTGCAAATCCGGGAGGTCGGCCAGGAAATCTAACCACAAGGCGGTGCGTCCGCGCCGAGGCTTCGATGCTTGGAGTCGTTGGAGATGGGTGAGAGCTTGGTGATTTGCATGAGCTGTAACCCTGGCGACACGGAGCAAATGTGACCACTTGTCCAGAGCCGTGACCAACGCCAAGAGTTCCTGATCGTAGATCCAGAATTTCTTTTATGTAAGGTTCATGACTTGGCTGAGGAAGCCAATGGGCTTGCCTTCTTGTTCTAGAACCGCTCCGATTGCATAGCCGGAGGCCTCCGTGTATAACTCGAAGGGCTTCGTTGTGTCAGGAAGCTGTAAAGTAGTGAAGTCGATTAAGCGCTGTTTGAGCTGCTGCACCCCCTTTGTGTGAAGCTCTGTCCATTTGAAACTGACGTCTTTAGGTGTAGGATCAACCAGAAGCTGCGCAACGTCGGCATAATCTGGCCCCATGAACATGCGACAGTAATTTATGGTGCCGAGGAACTGCCGCACTTGCGTTTCATTTTCCAGCACCTCTGGCCAGTGCCGGATAGCTTCGATTTTGTCTTCTGCAGGTTTGATGCCTTCGCCAGTGATGGTATAACCAAAATATGTGATTGCTTGCCCAGCGAACTTGCGTTTGCGGAATTTTGGGTAGAATCGGTTTTGCAAAAAAACACTGAGAACTTGTCACAGGAGGGAAACGTGTCCAGAGAGGTGGGAACTATAAATAAGTACATCATCTAGGTACGCAGTAACGCCCTGTCCTAATGAAGGCTGTAGATAGGCATTAATGCTGGCCTGGAACGTAGCTGGAGCACCCGTAAGGCCAAAGGGCATAATTCGATATTCGAATAGCCCTAGAACGGAGCGGAAAGCCGTCTTCTAGCGATCTTCCTTAGCCATGCGCATTTGACGGAATCCTGCTTCAAGGTCCAAAGTGGAAAAATACTTGGCGCCTCCCAGCATCTGCAGAATGGTTTGTATGGGAGGTAGCGGAAAATCAGGGCCTATCGTAAGGGCATTCAGAGCCTGGTAATTAACAAGCATACGCATTTTCCGCTCCCTGGAGCCATCATCACGCTTGTCCACCACCATCGTAGGAGCGCAAATAGGCTAATAGGTTGGTCCGATCCAGCCAGTGTCCGATAATTTAGCTATCTCCTGCTTGTGGAAAGTGAGCTGATCTGGAGTCATACGGTATATGGTAGATTTTGCTGGAAGTTTTCCAGTAACCAGTAGGATATGGTGATCATGAGGGCGCTTCGGCGGTAATCCCTTAGGTAAGTTATCGGGAAAGGCCGCTCGATACTCCTGCAACACCTGGATAATCTCACATGGAATAGCCTGTGCCTCCGTCGAATTTGTCCATTTGTCGAATAGAGTGTGGGCGGGTTTCGCCATAGGCCAGAGACACTCCTTTTCACCCTCCGCTACTGTAGTGCACAGGCACTACAATGGGGCTTGTGTAATGCGCGGCGCCCACTGCTGGGACTACGCCGCTTCCGGCGCCTCGAGCAGGCCTACAAACTACGCCTAGCATGACCCCATTTCTCGGACACTATAGCTTTATTCCATCGAAATACAAGAGTTCTTAAGTGTTTCAAATCTCTCTGTTCGATTCGCCCCACTCTGGGAGCTCGCCTCCTAGGCCCTATGGGGAGGAGGCCCGTACTGGAGGCGGCGCTATCGCCAGCCCCAGTGTCCACAGAATTTCCGTACATTTCACGTATTCATTAGAACTAATAGACAGTTTTCTTATTTTAATTCTATTGGGAGGGTCCTGTCCTCCTCCAGTGTTGCGGCCCCTTGTAGGTCGCTCGCTAGCTATCATCTCTAGGACACTAGCCAGCCCCATTGTAGTGCCTGTGCATTACAGCTTGCTAGTGACCTAGAGACAATAGCTAGCTAGCAACCTACAAGGGGTCGCAACACTGGAGGAGGACAGGACCCTCCTACTAGGATAAAAGTAAGGCAAATTGTCTATGAGTTAATATGCATACGTGAAATGTGTGGAAAATGGGTGGAGACTGGGGCCGGCGATAGCGCCGGCACCAGTGCAGGCGTCCTCCCCATAGGGCCTAGGAGGCGAGCTCCCAGAGTGGCGCGAGTAGAACAGACAGATTTTGAAAAACTTAAGAATTATTGTATTTCGATGAAAATAAGCTACAGTTTCCAGGAAATGCGCCTACGCTAGGTCCAGTTTGTAGGCTTGCTCGAGGGGCAGGTAGCAGCGTAGTCGCAGCAGTAGGTGCTTTGCACTACAGCTGCCGTCAAGGCGGTGGACGCCAAAGGACTACCCCAGCCGGAGGATGTGGGTCGAGTCCCGATCAACGCGCGGCGAAACGCGCCTTGCCATTCGTCCGACAACCTCAGTGCCACTGACGAGCCAACGTCGGGCAAAGCCAGGAAGAGATGCAAACCGTGCAGTGGTGCTCTGAGACTCTTTGTGCCAGCCTACGCCTGGTGAACGAGGGACGATGCCCGTACCTTCGTCTTTGTCTTGCCATGAAACTTGTATCTTTTGGGTGGCGGGCGTAAGAATATAAAGGCCTCCTTCGTTGACATGCCCGCCACTTGCCTGCCCAATATCATATTATCGCCCTGCAGGGGTCCCTCGGTGTACCACGATAGTACTGTCTCGCTGCATCTTTTCTTCACCAGTCCTGACGGCCGGTAACTCGCACCACTTGCCGTTCACATAGTTACTCAGCTTGTCTGACTGGAAGTACCAAGCCACCTTGTGTTCAGTCAGCCAATCCAACCCCAAGACTAAGTCATAGGGAACGGCTCTCACTAAGAAATCCCCCGAAAAGCGTGCATGTCCACACCACATCGTCAACTCCGTCACAACCCGATCAATGCGTAATTGTTCACCTGTAGCCACGGTGAACCTATGCTCTTCTGGAAATTTTCGCACCTTGAGCTGCAGTCATTCGACTGTTTTAGGACTGAGAAAACTTCTTGACTCCCCAGCGTCCAAGTGCTCCTCACATGCACTCCCTGTGAGCTCAACGCGAAGTATCGCTGTCACACCCACATAACACAATGCTGCCCCTTAGTCTTATGGCTCCTTAGCACAAGTTCCCCGCTACCAATGCGACACAAGTTCTGTTGTGTCTGGCCTGCAGCCTTCTTCTGTTACCACTGTTAGGCGTCTTCTCGCATGGAGGTTCTTCACTCCGGATCGGCGCCGTCCCTGACTTCCACCGCGTTTCCGAAGGCGGTTGAGTCCTCTGCGCGACCTCATTCCTCGTTTTAGTTTTTTCTACCGTGTTGAGGATCCGGTTCCGCCGCTCGAGAGAGACTGCAATGGCAAGGGCCTGCCGCTACCGCACACATCATCCCAGTGGCGTAGGATGTTTGTCTCCAACCACGCCTAGGCCCTGTCGTTTAAACGCTCAGTCCTCTCAGTGCGGGGACGGGCGGTCGGCCTATTACTGTTGCCCTCCGGCTTGCTCCAGCCGAGGTCGTATATAGGAGAGTGCCGAACATAGTGTCCCACACTGCCACACTTCTTGCAGGTCTCGCCCGGATGCTTGGTACGTTCTCCCTTGCTGGGACAAACTCGTGCCGGGTGTCCACTCCCCTGACACTCGCAGCAGTTTCCGGGATTTCCCCAAGGCCGATTTTCGTTTTCCTGCTTCCGATGGGGTCCATTTACCTCAATAGCGGCTCTGATGGCTCGACAGGCTCTTCCTCGTAGCTCTACCACGGTCTGCTTAGGTTCGTAGAGTCGCGCTGCTGCTGTCGCCGCTTGTTCCCAAGAGGAATACTTCACCTGGCCTTTATTTGTTATGAGCAGATGGAGGTCCGTCGGTACCCCGGTGCAGTAGAAGTCAGCGACTTCGTCGGGGGCGATTTCCACTCCACTCTCCGCTACAGCCGCAAACTGGTGCAGTCCTTAGGGTTACCATTCCACCATACTTTAGCCACCTCCGTCAGCAATTGACTCTGCGATATTGTTTTCTCAAACCATTCCAGAAGCTCGCGCTGCACCGTCGCCCAATCGCTTAGGTCGATAGTTCGCTGAAGATACATCCAATAAGTTTGAGCGGGGCCCACAAGATGGTCGATAAGTGCGCTCCCCACCCACGGGTCTCCAATTCCATCTGGGTGTAACGTCGTTCGATACGCATCGAAAAGGCCTGCATAGTGCTGCCGTCTTCAGGGAGTGTAGGCAACGTTGCGCTCGAATCTCCAGACCCGCCTATAACATTCCTTATCACATCCATCACAGAGTGGAATTGGTCGCACGTGACCTACGGACTGTCCCCTGGAATACCGTTAACAGTTGTTATGGTTATAGGTGACACCTGCTGGGGTGTCTCCTTATGCCCATGCGGCCGCCATGCTACAGTGGGTTTCGGAGTAGCATGACGAGGATGGGTTGGTGTTCCACTGGGCAACTTGTTTACTGGCAGTGTAGAAGTCTCCTGTTGCATAGGAACGACTACGCGTCCGTTGCGTATGTGCATCCCTTACTCAGCTAAGATATATACGTGCGAATTAGTAGGGAAAAGTATTTCTACCCTCAGGTCCGGAAAAAATAGCTTTTTTTTCCGAAACAGCCCCCCAATGCAGTACACCGCGTTCTCTGCAGCGACTACGATGCTACCTGGACCACGACTTGGGCACTCTGTGAAATTCTCTTTACTATCGACGCATCTGTCGTGAAATATCTATCAAATTATCAAAAGGCAGTTCTGTTCCAAGTTCTCAAAAAAGTCGCTCACTCATGGTTCTTGCTTTCTTGGCCCGGTAAGGAGGTGACCCGCACCGGCGCCGGCGTTGTCACCAGCCCCAATCTTAGGGTATTCGTAGACACTTCTAGTTTATGCATTTTATTTTGCTGATAAATTGCATTTCTATTTTGCTAGTAAGAAGTTTCCACGCTCGATCAGCATCTTAGCATCATAGGCGCTTATAGGTCCCCAGCTAGCTATCCTATCCTCTATAGTTCCCCAGCAAGCCCTGTTGTAGCGCCAGCGCACTACAGATCCTGTCCAGAATGCTCATATGTACATATTCATCGTTACATACGACGCCACTGTTTAAATAGGGGTACTTGAATTGATTCTTCGAGGGCCCAAACTGTGTTCAAGCTCCTTATTGCTTCTGTCGTGAGTGCTGGCACTGGCTGTCAAATTCCTACATCTGCACGAAAGATATACCATTGCACTACGCTGTCTACATAGGTCGCCATGCTCTTCTGCCTGTTTACGTGACCGTGTTGTACTGTGTTATCCGCGTAGGTGCGTAAATGGCATCTTGGCCTTTTTCCTATGCTTGTCTCAACAACATTCGCATTATAGGCCTTTTGCTTCGTAATCAAAATTTTCCTAGCCACTGTATCACACGAATGTGGAGGCATGGCTTTGCATCAGCTATCCGGACAGCAGCTTTTTTTCTCTAGTGCCTGCGCTGTTAAGCGCTCGAGCACCAGAGGCAGCTACAGGTCCACCTCGTAGAAGCAGCCACTGCCCCTAGTCAACCTTGAAGCCCTGTAAGAAGAGCTGCCAAAAAACATTAAATGACTTTCAGAGCTCACAAAAGTGTTTACACCTAACAGGGAGGATATGCATGGTGCCGTAATGTCTCTCTAGCAGTTCAGTGTTTCTTGGAACCCTTGATGTGTATACAAAGTACTCCAATCAAAGAGTACTGGATCGGCGCCGCGTTGTATCTACACAGGTCTTCCCAGTTTTGCCTATCCGCTTGTAGCTGAAGGCTTCTCTGGAATTTTGGTATCGCATCAATGCATCGTTCCCTTGTTGCGAAGCCTCAATGCTCTGGACAGATCCATCTCCTTCAGTACCTATCATTTGCTTGTAGCAAATTAAAATGTTGCATTTATCTGCCGACAGCTCCACCATCTTTCGGGCTTCATTGGAGAACGTTTTTCCTTGTTCATCAAAGGAATTCTTCATGGTGGAAGTTATTGGCAGACGTTGAAGAAGGTGTTAGTGGCATCCACGAGTGAACATGGCTGCGCTAATGACGCAAATTCGCATCTAGTGGAGAGCATTAATAACGTTCGTCTCAATTAGAGGCCGCAAGTGCAATCCCAACAAGCCACAGGAAATTACGGTGTGCGAACGGCTACCTACCAAAGGGTGCCCATAATGTGTCGAAACCTAAGTACTGGCATTGGAGCTTAACGGGCCCGTGGAACCTCTATATCCCTCTTAGCAATGTTTCACTAACTCCATGGTCCCTTGAAAGTCTTCCCGCATCCTGGGCAGTCCTGGACTGGACCATGATCTAGCGTAAATACTTTTCATCGTTTTATTGCTGGGTTGCAGCGACTTGACTGCCAGTGTTTATAAGCCATGCCCGAATCACTTGAAACTACACTCAACTTTGCCTGTGCTAAGTCTAGTGGGATGTAGGACCTTGTGGGGCTTTATCTATAGCGCAGCACCACAGCAGCTGCCTCCAAAAGCTCAGAAGTCTGTTCCAAATATCGTGTTTACTGTATTGAGTGACCCATCCGCTTACGACTAACGCGTAAGGCTGAAAAATACGTATTCAGTGATTGGTGATCGCATTCAATGATTGGTTATGTCACTGGTCGTTGACCTTGTGTGGTTTCTTTCCCGTACTATTTGGAAGCTGTGCACTCAAGAATTGCACTCATGGGTTGAATAAAACTAAATTTTGGGCAGATTTCCTTTAAATTGTGTCAGGTTCTGGTAAGTGGCATGGGCAACCTCTCATTCGCTCTGAAAAATTCATGTTGCCGCTGTACCCGGGCATGCTGAGATAGTATTGCGTCGTGCGCCAAGACTTGTGGCTGCTGCTTATGTTGAGATTTGCACAAAAATATATCTGCTGTTTTTGTCGAAAGACACACTGAAGTTAAGAATTTAGCAAAGAATCACGCCTAGTTTAATGTACTTTCTGAGTTCATCATGGAAAGGCCAATGCTAGGGTCTGAGCGGCAACAGGAACGGCGCATGCACTTGGCTGGGGCTTTGCAGATTTAATTCGCCTTTTCGTTGTCTTCTCTTATGATATCCTGTCGAAGCTGTCATAGGCACGCCATCGGTTCCGAAAACCGCAGCCGCCGTGACAGCAGCAGCAGCAAATGAAGCAGAATTCCAACTAGGGTAATGGGGCTGCTTGGAGAGGCAGAATTCTTGGAGGCGCTGCGGCGCCTCTATGAGGAGAGCAGAAGCAAAAACAGCGGGACTGTATGGATTACATTCAAGAGAAGTACGTACACCCACACACCCATGGCCCGAATTGCTAAATATGCTCCTCACCCTGAGCCCTAAGCCACTTTACCTTACTTAGGTTGCATGGAGATCTTTGCTACGTGACAGATTGCAGCGTGCAGAACTGACAGCACAGATGTGAAGTGGAGGGTTCAGGATGTAAGGTGTACAGTTTCTCGCCTCGAGCTGTGGATGTGTTTGGCGCGCACAGCTAGACAATGCGCCATATGTGTCTGGGGGTTTTGCTGGGAGTCGTGCGTTATGGCAGTCGTGTGTGCAAACCCCAAACAATGGTCGCAAAAAGCAGACCCGTGCGACTCTGTGCAGCGTTTCCCGAGGTCGGCGGCAGCCGCGGAGCGAAGAGGCGCAGGAAGCTGCTCACCTGTGAAGAGAAGCCCGAAGCTACTCCAGTGTGTCTCGTCAGAGCAACAGACGGAAAAAAGAAAATATCTGTTCAGGTGAGCCCCACCAATAGCGTCTAATCCTACGCCCTCAAGTGTAGCTTTCTGCGGATGCGTGCTTGGGTGAAGAAGCCCGATGGCCTGCCCTGTGAAGGCCGCAGTCACGACTCAGGAATCACGGTTAGGCTTTGCTGCGTACGTACAGGTAGAAGGGAACAGGGCTCTGGCCTTCAGCCAGCGTCTTTGGGGGATGTCACGTATCCACATGGATCAAGTGAGGCCCGCACCTCCCAACATGGAAAAGAGCAGGCAACAGCAACAACACTCACAAGGGCAGCAACAGTCTTCGCAGCAAGAACAGCGGCAAGACGAGCAGCATCAGCAACAATCCTTAAGGGAGCAGCGAAACAACAAGAAATACAAGCAGAGTAACGCTTCGTTCAAGCGCGAGGCATGAACACTGTTGTTACTACTGTGGGGCCTCTTGAAACGGGCGCAGCAGCCTTGCCAGCAACAGGCGATGTGCTGCGACAGCAGCGCTAGAGAGCCAAAGTTGTCGGGAGTCGCAGCAAAATGAACAGCAGCGGCATTGCCATCAGCGACGGAAGCCAGTTTGCAAGTGTTTCTGTGCAGCTGTGTGGGCAGCACAATATTCCTTTTGGGGCTGATAATGGTCCGTTTAAAAGCGCTTGTTTGGCGTGTTAAGGGTCGTTCAGCGCCTGGCCCCTTGTGGTGCTCTTGTTGTTGGCGACTCTTCGGGGCCTTCGAGGTACTTACGGGGGCCCTCGGGGAAACGTTTGACGCGCATGGGGGCCCCCCCATAGGCATATTGTTCATTGTTAAATATCGTTAATGACAGCGGCTAGTGTTTTACGCTGTTGCGTGTACAAATTTAAGTACGGATGTACAAAGTATGTGCACATAATTAGTACGAACCCTGCTGCGTCCGTTTGGAGAGCCCAGGCTACTGAACGAATTTATGGGGCTTTTGGGAGAGAGCAGACTTCCAGAAAGTTGGTTTCGGGTTTTGCTAATCAAGGCTAAAGGACGGCCCACTGCATGGATATGATCAGACGTGCTGTACAGCCTGAGTGTTTGGCTACTATGTGGCGCTCCAGCATGTAGATTCTAAGATGTGTATGCATGCAAGAAAATCAGCCGCATGCGAGTAGGCGCAAACGCATATTCGGGCCCGGGGAGAGCAAATTTATGTAGTACAGAGCAAAACAAGAGTGGACAAACGTAGAGGGGAGTCGGTGGGCTGGTGCAGAGATGCAGGGGGGCAGGAATTTGGGGTGAGGGGACACATATCTCTTCCAGGCAGTAGCCTGCGGATAGCACACGGCGAAAGAATATAGGGACTAGCTAAAGACTCATGGACTACGCAACTGGGGTCACTTAGGTCGGTCTCATGGAGCCGTAGAGATGGACGGGAGTTGTCGAGCTAGTTTGGTGTCTGTACTTTAGGGCGAGCGTACGGGCGAAATTTTTTGCTTGTGTATATATGTTATCCGGCCGATGATTGTTTTTATGTTGTTGTGTGCACATATGCACGGTAAATAAGGGCCGAGTCCTCAGATAACAGCAGGGAGGGGTTGATGGGGACCGAAGAAGAATCGGCGACCAGCATTGCAGGAAGGCATTGCAAACCCTTGCTGGAAAGAACAATGAGCAAAATTGTTTTTTTATGGAGTGAATCTTGCTCTTAAGGCCAGCAACTCCAATTTGGTGAGAGCATGGCGGCCAAGATGTACAACGACTTCGCCCTGTGTTCAATGCTCACGCTGTTTGCCTTACAAAAGTTGTATTTCATAGAGTTTTCAGCGTTGCCTTGTAGCTGTGCCCGTTTACTTTAGGCGGTCTCACGGGCATACGGGACCCTACGGGGGCCCCAATCTGCTGCAGCCGACAGTGGTGGTGCAGCAGCATCTCCAGTAGCAGGGACACACAGTCTCTTCTGTCCTCCCCCCAACGTCAGAAGTAATTGTGCAAAAACATTAATCAGTGAGAAACCCGTGGGAACCTCCTAGGTGTCATCCCCGCAGCCTGACACACGTTGCTGCTGCTGCAGCTGTTCATGCTGGGGATCGGGCGTTGCGCCTGTGGCTGCTGCTGAAGTGGTGCTGCTAGTTTCTGCTCTTCTCTCAGACCGTGTGGGAAGGCAGCAGGTGGTCAAGAAGCAGCAGTAGAAACCGCAGCCGCAGGACTTTACACGCCACCCCCGGACAAACAAGCAGCAGTAAGAACAGCAACAGCAGGTCTGGCGCATCTCCACCACAGTAGCAGCTGGAGTGCCATCAGCAACAGAATATGGAGATCATTATAGCCCAGGGGACTGAACGCGCCGCGGCTCTCGCCGTGCTGCAGCAGGAAGCAGCCGTCATAGCAGCAGCAACAACACGAGCTTCAGGGAGAATAAACAAACAATGCAGCGACTACTCGTACGTGCTTATAGCACAGATGCAGTTGAATCAGAGCTAAACGCGATTTTCCCTCAGTTAGCAGCAGAATCTCCAACAATTGCAGTAGCAGCGTGGGCAGCAGTAGCGTGGGACGCCGCCGCACTGCTTACTCTGGTTTTCTCCCCCTGCTTTCTCCCACTTTCTGGAATATCTGGGGCAAACCTCAGGCATTGTTTGCTGTCGTATTGCTTGAGCTCTTTCTGGCATTTGCAGTGTGTGACTGTTTACGTCTGTGTGTCTTTCGTTTATGCTTCCTCTGGCTTCTGTCGTTGTACTTGCCTGTGTGCAAGCCATTCCCTGTTTCCTTCTAGCTTTGCGTGTAAACTTTATGCGCCTGTGCGCCAGCGGTGCCTCGTGCGCCTTTAGCTGCATTTGCATTGCCTGGTGGTTCATTATTTTGCATATTTCTGTGTCTCTGTCGCTGTTAATGTGTGTTTCAGGCTGGACATGGTGCATGGCCCGTTCGGCCTTTTCATAAATATGAAAACATATTTGTCCGTTTCCTTGGAATCTCTTCCTGCAGATGCGGCTCTCAGCGGGTTTCGGGTGTATGTCCACCTCAGCTCCAGCGTTCACGAGCTGAACGCCACGACAGCGAACAACAGAAGAAAAGAAGCGGAAGCACAGACAAATAACACGAGCAGTGCTCATACTAACACATCACAAACAGATACAAGTACTGCAGCGACAGGGAAAGGCAAGCCCACCAAGATGGCCATTGATGTGGAGGGCGGGTGCGTACCGTTGACACTACACTACGGCACCTGCCATTGCTGGTATTGCTGCCATTGGTGGCACTAGTGGTGCGGCTCCTCGCCACTCTATTTTATCTGTGTAGGATGTAAGATGCGGCTTCTGTTTTTTCATTGCTGCTGTTGCTGCCGCAATCGCTGCTCGTTATTGCCGCTTTTGCGCCTGTTCCAGGTTCAGTGCGGAAGGCGACATGATTGACCCAGCGGGGAACTTTGCATCTGTAGAGCCGACACTTTCGTATCGCCTGTGTGTCTACACCCCAGCAAGAGAACTTTCTGCCACTGCTGCAAGGAGTCTGGCAAATTTGTACTGCGGTGGCAGCAGCAGCAGCAAGCAGCAGCAGAAGCGCGCTGAGGGAGATGAGGAAGCGCAAGAGCAGCAGCATCAGCAGTGGCGCAGTGACTTGCAGCTGCTGCAGCAGCACGAGGAGCAGCTGCTGCAGCAGCTCTCGTTTTTATCCCTAGATGACCCAGAAGTACCTGTTGCTGTTGCTACAGCAGCGAAGCACCTCGCGGAGATGAAGCATGCAGTGGCCGATCCAGCCCCTTCTGCAGCTTGGGTCGAAGAAGTCTTTGTAAGACGGCCACTGTCGTTTCTGTGTCTCCTGTAGCTCGTGGACTTGTGTCCGCGCTGCTGGCGTTCACACATAACTCACCGCTCGTGCTCTGATGTGTGGTATTTGGCCTCGCTGGTTTTCGAAAACTGATTTGACAGTTTGACAGCGCTGAAATAACATCTTTTTTGTATGTGTTCGTGCTGCTGCTTCCATACGAGCATTTCATCTGTGCCTTGTTGGAGATATATGTGCAGCCGAGCAAGTACGCCGCCAATTTGCCCGTCATCGAGGACCCGCCGAAGATTTCTCCGTCAAACTGGAAGTGTGCCGATTGCGGCGCCTCGACCAACCTCTGGCTCAACCTCTCCGATGGGTCCGTCCCGTTGTTGCCGTAGTTGCTGTTGCTGCTGTTATTCTTGCGGCGGTCACTGGGACGGCCGGTGCTGCTGTTGTTGACGCCGGAGTTATTGCTGTAGCTAGGTGAACTGTTGCTGCTGCCGGCACTGCAGTTCCGGATGATGCTCTTGTTGCTGAGGCAACTTATGCTGGTGAAACAGCCGTGCTTTTTTTAACGTTTGTACCTGCTGCTGCTGTTCTTGTTGCTTTTAATTCAGGTTTATTGGCTGTGGCCGAAAGCTGTATGGAGCTGGTGGGGGTTGTGCTGACGGGAGAGAGGGAGCCGCCATCAGGCACTACAAGGTGCTGCTGTTGCTGTTGTTGTTGCTAATTTTGCTCTGGTGTCTAGGTAACTGTTTTCTTGTTGCTGCAGTTCGACGTGGCATTCCGTGTTTGCGTCATGCGTTGCTGTTTACTTCTGCCGTAGCCTCCCTGCTTGTCCACGTTTGTACCGTTCTTTGTTTCTGGTTGCACTCCCTTCCAGTTGCTCCCACGCCTTTGCATTTCTCTACCTGTAGTTTTGCAGACGCCATATCTGCCTTTATCTCCGTTTACGAGCTCATGCATAGGGCTGTGTTCTTCATCTGCTGTCGGTCCCAGGACATCCTTTTATGTGTCCCTTGCAACTATCTCTTTAGCGAAGGCGTAACTTTGCATACTTGTTAACCTCTACATGAATGCGTGCATGTATTGACTATTCAGCCGTGTACAAATAGGTGAATTAACTTACTGCATCTTTTCCGTTTAGTTGTACGTTAGTCAGTGTGCCTCTCCCCGCCACCGTTTGTGTCTTTGCACTTGCATTGTCCTGTTTAGGAAACAGGTTCTATTTATCCCCTCATTGTAAAACTAGGGACTATTTCTCCGGACTCTGCTGACGTGTTTTCTTACGCCCCTGACGAAGACAGCACAGTCATTGACCCGAACCTCCCAGAGCATCTTGCCAGATTTGGAATTGAAACACAACAAGTCAGCATGCCCTGTTGCTGTTCCTGCTGCTTCTGCTGTTCTTGGTTGTGGGGCTACCGGTGGTGCATGCTTTGGTGATGGGGCGGCCGCCGCTGGCGGTTATGCTATCGCTGTAACTGGAAATGGCGTGCTTCGAGTGGCAGATATTGCGTTGCTGCTGCCCTCATGAGGACTGCGTTTCTCGTGATGTGTTCTTGCATGCTTCTGATGATTATGGTTTAACTGGTGCTGCGGCTGCCTATTTTGGTATTTTTCATGGTTCCACGGATATAAACATACGCGCAACAGCAGCTAGTGGCACTGATGCTTGCCTTCACTGCTGCAGTAGCTGCAGCAGCAGCAGCAGCAGCTACTGCAGCTGCCACGATACAGTTGCCATCGGTAGGGCAGCAGCTCCAGCTGCTGTTGCACTTTATTGTTCTGCTGCGGGCATGTTTGGGATTTGCGCTGCTGCGTGGTCACTGTTACAGCTTCGGAAGACAGAGCGTAGCACAAACGAGTTAGCGATAGACCTGAACTGCAAGTACGATTGGGCTTCTCTTGCGGCCTCTGCGGCGGAGCAGCAGAAGCAGCAGCAGCAGCCGAGGGGTGCCGGCGCTGTGGGCCTGAGAAATCTGGGCAATACTTGCTATGTAAATTCCGTGCTCCAGGTGAGGTGAAGCTGAACCAGCAAAACAAGTAGGGTAGCAAAGACGACTCTCTCTTGTGAACACCCCGGGCTTCTGGTTTGGGGCTTGAGGTACAGGACGTCGGCTTCCCAGCAGACGGTATGTGTGGGTGCGTTTAGGCTCTTTTTAGCATTCCACGTTTTCGTGAAAAATTTTTGTCGCTGTACGAACCTCTAATTTGCGGCCAGGGTCTCCCGGGAGCAGCAGCAGCAGCGGGAGGCCCGGCAAAGTGTCTCTCTATACAGCTAGGGGCCCTTGCCGTAGCCCTGCAGACACGCCGAGTTTGCATGCAGAAGTCTCTTGGGCTGCTACTCTTGCAAAAGACGCTGCAGCAGCGAGATGTGCAAATTGGAGAAAAGCAGCTACTAGATGGTACGCTGACTTTGTCGGTCTCCGTGTTAGTTGCTTTTGCACTCACCAAATTGCAATGTAGAGTTGTTTATCTTGTGCACCAGCAACTAAAGGGGCAGGGTGGGGAAAAGCGGGACGACCTTGGTGTTCAGCATTAGGTACCGCCACTTCATGCGTTTCTGACGCTGCTGGTGAAGAGATAGCGCTGCATGGATGTTGCGGCTGCTGCTGCAGATCTACCATACATGGCTCACGACTCGGTCTCACCTTTGTCTTTGCGAGCGATTATTGGCTCCTTGCATGCGGAGTTCGCTAGCAGTAGACAACAGGATGCGGGTTAGAATGCTTCTGCTGCTCTTCCGCTTACTTTTTCTGTGACGACTCCGTCGCGACTGTTGCAGACGGTGCTGAAGGGCGAAAAGGGGACTAATTTTCGCTGTTGGAATGTGCACTACTGCTTATGCTTCAGAGGAGTTCTTGTCCTTACTCTTGTCATGGGTCATTGAGCGAGAGGCAGGGGACAGAAGGCAACTGCAGCAGCTCAGGCGACTGCTGCAGCTGGGTGATTGCTGTGCTGCTACTGCTGCTGCTTCTGCACTGGGGATCACGGACGAGACCCTCAAGACCGCAGAAGAGGCTAGTGGGAGAGGCACGGTGGATTCGCTCTTTTCCTTTGGGGTCAGTGACGGCATGGTTATTGTGCAGCGGGTACTGCAGCATATTCTACTGCTGCGATTCGTAATCTGACAGGGTTGCTGCGCTGCGTCTGTTTTTTTGGCTTACCTATAACCCCACGCCTGTTGTAGCTGCTGCATCTCCTGATGTTGCGTGTGCTGCTTCTATGCATGCGTACATGTTGCAGGTGGAGCAGCGTCTAGAGTGTCTGCAGTCCCACCAGGTGCGATATACCTACAGCCAACAGCAGGTGTTGGCATTGCCAATTCCGGTGGATATTCAGCAGCAGGAAGAGCAGCAGGAGCAGCAGCAAGAACAGCAGCAGCAGCGTCAGCAAAAGAGGAGAAAGGGCGCTGAAGGCACACCCACAGAATCGGAAACCGGGGCAGACACGGGCGGCGACACGACGGAGACAGTGCGCACATCAGCTATTGCAGTGGCAGCAGCAGATTTGCTCCCCGGCACTTCCTTTTCCGTAACACGGGCAGAATCTTTCACCATTTTGTTTTATTTTCATCTTTTTGTGACGTCTGTCTTTTCACGCTATGGGTTCGTGTCGACATCTCTACGCTCCACTTTAAACTCCTGTCTCCTCGCTCCACTGGCTTATTGCTTCACTAGTGGCTGTCTATTACTGAAGACTTTGAGGCTTTTTGTATGCGTTGCGCTGTCCATAGCATGGGGAATCTGAAGAGAAGGTTGTTGCTGCTGCGCCCTCTGTGCCTATTTCGCGTTGCATTGGAGCAGCAGCCGCTGCTGCTGTAGTTCAGGACTACCTGTCTCCTGCCACAGGCAGCAAAGGCGATGCTGAGAAGACATTGCGCTTGACGAACTACCCTGAGTATTTGCTTGTCTTCCTCAAGCGCTTCTATATCAGCGACCGGTGGATTCCAAAGAAGCTCAAGTGCTCAGTACAGGTAAAGAGCAGGAAAATGCCAGAGGATTCAGGGTGCGGCGCGTAGATACCCGGCTTCACTTACCAGCGTTATGGTAACATTTCGGAATGAGGTGTATTCGGACAAATATTTTGGTGGACAGAGGGGCACTGGGTGGGCAGGAAACATTTGGAACAACATTTGGAACATCTGGAGTGTTGAGGGTCTGGTGTAGGTCTCATGTGCTTGCGATGAGATTTCGATGCGTGTAGATAAGGTTTAGAGATAGTGGCAGTTACGAATGTGGTGAGAATACTGCTTCACATGGAGTGCTGGACTTACGTGAAAAATGATTCAAGCAGTACAACAATGTTTATGGTTCACACCCATTGTTTTCACTGTATATTGGGTGCTTGGGGTTGCATTCTGTGTGATTAGCGCTTTGTATTTCTGACTAGGATTGAAAGTTTACGCTTCCTTCAGATTCCTGAGGAGGTTTCCTTCGAGGAGCTTCGGGCGTTTGGACTTCAGCCAGAGGAGCAAGAACTGCCCGACAAGCCGTCGTCCACGCAACAGCAGAAGCTGCAGCAGCAGAGCAGCTCAGAAGAGGCAAAAATAGAAGGAGAAACCGCAGAAGCGGCAGAAGATGCACAAGGTTCTGAAGTTGTCGCTACGCTGGAATCGATGGGCTTCTCCAGCAATGCCGCCAAGTAAGGGATAGCATAAATGCACGCGGGAAGAAGAGACAAACAACAATGGCACATTTAAAAGAATATAAGCACAGACAGGCAAATGCGGCACTCGGAGATGATGGGAAAGGAGAAGGAAAGAAAATAAGCGAAAAATCAGAAAGACAGAGGCAGCATTGAAGAGGTAGATTGATAGGAAGAAATGGGAGGGTGCAACCAAACCGAAGTACACGTGCATATCCTACGTCCTTTTGACATATTTCCTCCTTTTCTTTCCATCAATATATTTATAACTACTTTTAACCATCATTGGCCACATTGCTGTGGCTTTTTCACAGACGTGCTGTTCGGGCCACTGGGGGCGCTGCTGCTGAAAGTTGCGTGGAGTGGCTTATGGGCCACTTGGACGACCCTGACATAAACGACCCTCTTCCGCTTACACCACCTCCTTCCTCAGCAAGAACATCGTGTGGCGCTGCAGGGGAAGAGCCGGATGCAGAAGCTGTGTCTAGTTTGATTGCTTTGGGATTTGACGAGCGGAGTGTAAGGGCAGCATTCTTCGCGACAAGGAGACAGCTGAGTGCAGCGGGAGGAACGCAGAAATCAGATGTCTTTGATTCTGGTCGTGCTGCTGACTGGCTGTTGTCTCAAGGCCAAAATCTTGCCGCGGCTGTGGACGAAGTGCTTCCAGCAGCAGCAGCAACTACTGCTGCTCCTGTTGCCAGAGATGAGGAGCGCGAAACTGAGGCACGAGAGAGAGCAGAAGAGGAGGCAGCAATAGCTGGCTTATCCCCTTTGGAACGGTGCCGGCGAGGTCTAGGGGACGGCGCTGGAGTCTATCGACTTTTCGCGTTTGTGTCGCACTTGGGTTCCAGCGTCTCCGGAGGTCACTACATTTGCCATGTGCGCAGTTCGGAAGATCCCGGCTGCTGGCTGCAGTATAATGATGAGAAGGTGCTCAGGGTGCCAACCTGCAACACTGACCATGCCTATCTTCTCCTTTTCAAGAGAATAGATGCAGATGAAGGCCAGACAGAGACTTGAACAGAGGCATGAAGCATGGTAAGAGAGCCGGCTGTGATGCATCAGAAATGAGTCTATGGCATTCCTCTCGCCCGACACTTTTCCCTGCCTCATTTTCTCTGCCTTCGATTGTCCGTTTGACTTAACTACTTGCCAACAGTGCTTTTTTCGAGCTCATTCACTATTTTTTCTGGCGCTGCCTGCCCGCCTCTTTCTTACGAGCTGCTTCTTTTCTTGTCCTTCTGCGCCGAACTCGTCGTGCTTGAACCTAGCTCCCGTTACCGCTGAAATGTGTGCAAGGAGCTGCTCACTCTGGGCTGCCTGCCACAATTCCCTTTCCGGACAAAGCACAATGGCACTGTTTTTTGTCTTTTTTCTGTGTCTGCGTTTGTGTGGCTTCATCCCTGCCTTGCAAGTCGCTGCTTTATTTTTCCCCCATCACCGCGGGCGCAGCACCACGGAATGTAGCGGCCCAAAAGCAATTCACTTGATACTGCGATAACGGCCTTCTGCTTTGCCATTACTGTCCACAGTTGCTGCAAGAGCAGTAGCTGCTGCAGCAGGAACATGCTGCTCCCTGCAGCATGTTCCTGCCGACTATTCAGAACAGGTGCTGTGCCCACGCGTATTACCTATTACCCGGGCAAAAGTAGCACCAGCAGCAAAAGCGGCATCAACAGAGGGGAAAATTTTCCCCATGAAGGCGCATGTTGGTGGCGTTCCCGCTGCTGCTGCTGTTGCACACTGAACTCTCCATATTGCGCCCAACAGCCTTAGCGATAAACGCTCTGGTCTGCTTCTGTCACAGTTCGCTGCTGCTACTGTAGCGCCAAGCATGGCGTCTACCTGGCGCGATAAGACAATTAGGCAAAGCTCCCATTTAGTTCCGAAACTGTTTCCACCGTAGCTCTCGAGTGTTGCCGAGGTACGTTTTGCTCCTGCCTTGCCTAAGTTAAGCATAGGTGCTAATCACAAGTGTGAACAGCTGCGCACCAAAGAAGGCAGCACCCGACAAATTAGTAAGGAGTTGAATGGCGGAGTTCGTGACAGTCACCGGTTCATAAACATTACCAAAGGGAGTGGACTCAGGATCCACTGTAACTGTACACAATCAACGTCACTAGGCAACTCCACAACTGGCAGAACTGGGGAGAAGTGTGTGCAAGGTACGTGGACCTCTCTGCGAGGTTACGCTGTTCTTATGCACGCTGGTCCATCACCCCCTGGCTTGGCAGACGTTGCCACATGATCTATCCACGCCATCTTCTGCTCTACACTCGGAACTTTACAAGAGGTAGTGCTCCAAGTTTGTAACCGTCTACCCGGATTACTGCGAATGGGCACAACGTCGTTTTGTTGCTATTTTAGCTTCTAGCGCTTTCCGAAGTGCTTCCGGAGTATAGACAGTACTTAGTTGTTAATTGCTCGTAAAGCACCTTTCACCAAGGTTGCTTTGCCCTTCACCCTGGGCTTGATACGAGACCTCAATCATTCCACCGTACCGGCTGGCTTGCGCAACACCCTGAGGGTTTAGAACTATCTCATTGTTTTCATCTAATTAGAATTGTACTGTGTGTTTCATTCACGTTTACTTCGGAAAAGCCGTTTAGATTTGGTTAAGAAGAATCCGCGTTTCGATGTAGCAAGTTCTTTACATGAGCTGCATGAAAGAGCGCGTGCGCAGGTCTGTTGATGTGCAATGGCCCTTGCATCTGTACATCTTGCTTGTTCCTTGCTTTGGGTTGTAGCCACTTCAGCCTACCGAGGGGCCTCACGCAGAATGTATATTTTTAGGGGCTATCATATTGCGCGTTTCAGCTGGTATTGTTTAGAGACGGATACTGAAGATGGTTTTCTGTAGGTCTTTCTTTCCCTCCAAAATGTAGTTTGGGATGGTCTTGGCTGGTAGTAGATGCTACAACTAACGGCTGGATCTAATCTATTTTTCTTAGCCTGCAAGTAAAATAGCCAGCTTCATGTATTCAAGGATTCACGGAGTAGGATGCACGCTTTAGCAGAAATACAGGCAAATAATTGCTTACTGTCTAGGCTGGGCAGTGCAAGAACGACGCTAGCGAAGTTAGATTCTCACACAACGACTAATTTAGTGGATCAATTCGTTATAAATGTACCGATAAACGGAGGTATTCGTAGGCAGAAACTGAGACAGGAACTGCTGCGTAGCAAGATTGGTTGGCTGAAAGACTCGACGGCTGGCTGCGCGCCAGGCGAGTGGGTTTTATTTGTGTGGTGTATGTCTAAGGACAAGGACATATATAATTGAATTCAGTTTGCTTAAAGTGCATAGATGCATTGAAAAAGTAGCAAAATTGAGGTAACGAGGCGCAGCAGGAGACAGATAGGGAGAAAGGTTTACCACCGGCTAGCCGCGGCAGCATCGGTGAGCGGTCAGGGGCTCTCTGTGCTGAGGCGCCGACGATAGGCTTCTGCATTTCCACTCTGGCCTCTTCCTTTTCGCAGCAATACCTTCTGAATTCAAGCTGTCTCAACTGCCTCCTTATTGCTGACAGTTCACGCCCAAAGAAGCTTTCTCCGGTGCAAATTCAAGTCAGCCAGTTGCAGAACAGCTGCGCGGGCCTGCCATCGCCTCGGGCTCATATCTAACTAGCTTAAAACCTGTTTGTGGTGTTTCTTCCTGCTTGCAATCCGACATCTTTTTCATGTACTTGTCCCTGTGACCTTCAGCAGAAGTAACACCTCTTCCATACATACAGCCTACTATCACGGGGGGCCGACAACGCGCACAGCAGCTCGCCGCACTCAACCCGGTGAGGCTCAGGAAGACTTTTCCCTTTTTATCTCCCTTTTTCAATTAAGACTGGAATGAAGAGTTGTGATTTCATTAGAATTGTCTCAGATAGAAGGCGGAAACTGCAAAAGCTGTTCCACAGCCGACACCACCAGTGCGCAGGGCTGTGAAGAAGCTTCTGCAGGCAAAATACAAAAGGCAAAAGCCGAACAGCTGGGGCCTGATAAATATTCCTGCAGCCCGTTCTTTGTCACTTCTCTTTGTTGGGTCGTACGTCTAGGAACTGGGCTTCACTTCGTTCCCTCACTGTGCGCTTTCAGTGTTTAAAGAGGGCGCTCTCCCTTTTTCCTTCCTCAAGATCTTCGGAAGATGGGTCAGTCGCTCACTACCCAGGAGAAACACAACATTAAACGTGAAATATACACTCTGTACCCCGGCCTGGAGCAGCAGCTAGAGATGGCATTTAGCTGTCACGACGTGGAGGGCACTCTGACGCTTCCGTACGCTACTCTCGAGCCCGTTATTCGCCATCTGCTAATGCAGTATGGGCTGATTGAGTACGTCACAAGATTTAGCAAAGAGTCTGGTAAGTGTACAAGGCAAAAGGCCTACGGAGCACAAGGGCGTCCCACCCGCCCGGTACTATGCGCGGCGAACCACAGTTCCCACACACATTTACTATTCATACTGCACGCATTTACACACATTATATGTCTTATCTATGCATGCATACATATGAACTGTACATCACACCAAACGCACAAGCACGCGCACAATTCTACACACTGAATGTATCACATCGCAAGCCATATTTATTCATGCATATGACACGCGGATCGTTAGTACTGGTGCAATTATTCTTCTCATGGAGTTCATGTGGATATGTGGCCACACAACGTAGCGCTTCGTATGACTACCCAACTCTGCAGTTACTGGTGTTGCTGTGACTTTTGTTGCGCAGGTGCCCTTGATCCTTCTCATGTGCGCCACGAGCTGGCGGAGTTTGGGGTTGCGACTACTCGCCTCTTCGGAGATGCAAACCTCAACGTGGACGATTTTAAGAGCCTTGCAGTTGTGTGGCTCAAGAAGATACTTGACACTCATGCTGGTAGGTGATCCCAGTTTTTTGCATGTGGTTCTTTCCCTGTTCACACTTTGCATTTATCTTTGTTTGCCACTGTTAGCGTTCGTATACTGTTACGTCACACTTGCTTTTTGTACATCGCTGCCTATATGTAACAGCTTCCAGTGCGAATTTTCTGATTTCGCCGCGCGTCCTTGCAAACTCTGTGTCTCATCTAATATTTTGGTTGCCTTCTCACACAGACGACCAGGCGGAGTGGATGGAGAAGCTGCGCGCTGACCAAGAAGAGCAAAGTGCCAACTATGCAAAGGCCATGAAGGAGTTCCAGGAACAGTATGTCAAGCAGCAGGCCGTATACCAACAGGGACTGGAGGAACAACAAAAACAAATCCAAGACTGGAACAGGGTGAGAGGATATTCGTGAACAGACAGGTAGTAGGCTTGTGAATGGCTAGGATGTTAACTGGACAAATACGCACAAAAACGGGGGTTCGCTTAGAGCCCTTACATTTGCAAGCCTGTGCAGCGGCAGCGACGCCTACAGACATAGAGCAAAGATCTGAAATGGTCGACCCCAGCTGGCCTTCCTGTCCCTTGCGTCTACTGCAGCTTCTTGAGGATGCGCACAAAACGCAGCAGCAGATCTACGACGAAGAGGTCCGCCGTATGAAGGAAATCCAAGAGAGGGAAGCCCGAGCCTCTGAAATTGCTCGTCAAGAAGAACTGGAGCTGATTCGCAAGTACCAGCAAAAGCTTGAGGAAATCGCAAGATCGGAAGGCGGCAAGTGTTTCGTCTACCCGGCAAGCAAAACTCCCTATGGCGCATGCGCCTCAGCTGGTGCCCAAGAACCATGCAGGAGGAAGAGAAGCCAAGCTCGCAGGGAGCAGAGGCCAGCGAAGGGTTGCTGCTAATCTATACGATCAAACGGGGAAGTGCTGTGATGCACCCACTACTCCAGTAGATCTCACACTATCGGGACTCGCTGTCGCGCTGTAGATGGGAAATAAGCATCACTGTATCCTTCTCCAAGAGAAAAATGTGCCAGAAGTTAGGACGGAAGAGGAAAAAGCATTTGTGTTGGCTTTTCTCCCGATCCCCGCCAAGAGGTATATACAGCAGGTCGTGTAGATTGCAAGCATTTAGCTGGATTTTTTTGTCCATGCCAGCCTCCAGTGATGAGCTCCACAGCTAAGCACACCAAGTTTTTCGCTTCGCTTCAGATATTTGCATGGGATATCGCAGTTCAGCTAGGTACCAACCGATTGACACCAACTTTCATGAGCCGTGCAGCTATCGGCCATACTTTCTCCTTGTTGGCCGAGTATTTGATGGTATCAAACTTCTTGATCAGCTTTAGAAAGACTTACAAACGAGATGCGGAATATGTAGGTGCACTGCTTCGCTCACACCCTGCGGATAACGCTTGCAGCGTGGACGAAGGTCGTGTGGGACGGCATATGTGCATACTGAGGAAGTGAAAGCAATGAACTTCAAACTTTAATAAGGTTTCCTTATTCGGGAGAGGCAAAGTCCTTTTGGCAGGGCTGCTCTGCTGCACACCTGGCGATTGAGCAGGCGTGAAGGGCTGGAATCGCCGGTCGCACTCCTGTTCGCCCAACACCTTCTTGAAATGATTACTTTGAAGATATTCAATGAACCATAAACAGTTGCTCAGGAGCAAATTTTCTGGGATCTCGTTTAGGGAAGCGGTACGCAGATGGGCATGGACGGTTGTCCGACACGTACAGCACAAGATGAGGAGATATTAGTGAGACTGCTCTTCATCAATCCACAGCAGCATTTGAAACGCATACAGCGCACCCATTACTTCTTTTCTCCACTCGAAGAGTTGCTGAACAGTATTGTACAAACACCTGGTGCAAACGGCGCCTCGTTGCCGAAGCTGCAGACCCAACCTTAGCTGTCTCACTGTGGTAACTGCCAGCTAAGCCTATCCAAACGAGGAATTGTAGCTGTTCTATTCAAATAACACGCATATCATTTGCGATTTGAGGACGGAACAGTATAGTGCAAATAAAGCAAGGTGCAACGCCACCTACCACTTCTTGGGAAGGGCAGGAGGGGAGAATGCAGTTTGCCTCATTAAAAGCGACAACAACAGACAAGACAGCACCAGCCATCCTATTTGGACGGCAACGTAGTGGAGTGAGTGTAGCGGCGAAGGTCAGGCATATCTGTAAAAGTGGCTGATTAACAGAGCAGCAGGCTTCCGTAGGATGGTGAAAAAGAGTGCCGACTGGGACGGAAACTGGAAACTACCATGCAATGAGAGCACTTGTAAGCATCATTTTGATACTTTGGGGTTAGAAGGAACTCGTAAGAAGTCAATGGCTGCTATTGTTGGTGCACAACCTTACATTGCATGGTAGGCATAGCCAAGCGCCTGGCTCAGTGCGGTGGTTTGGGCTTCATTTCAACATTAGTACTGATCAACACTGACGCTTATCAGTTGCGGTTGGGGGCCAGCCTAAATGAGACACTTGTCAACCTCGCGTGAAGGGGGCGAGAGGAACGGGAGTGATTCAGGTGTCGAGCGTTCAGCCACTAACACAAAGATGAACCCTGACGAGCTCCCCCGCCATTCGCCTTCTAATAATACTCCTGTAGAGAGTGTTAGCGGTGGAGCAGGCGAAGACGGACCACTTGAGGGCGGCCTTGACGCTTGTTGCTCGAGGCCGTTGGCTAGCAATAGGCGATATCTTCCAGATCCTCACGAACGAGACAATGACAATAGTTTAGTTGCGGAAGCGCTGCGATGCACAGCTCCGTATCGCTTAGTTCAGAACGCTGACTGGTCTCTGCCTCATCTGAGAGAGGCAAAACACAATATTGACGGTGTTAGAGTACAACGCTCACCTCCAATTATGCATTCCCTCCTGAACGATTGTCAGCAAGTACAGGGCGAAAGCATCAGAAAAAAGATAAGGAACGATCGTGAAAAGTCTCTTTCGACTCTGCAGCAGATGGTTAACACAGGATCAGCTGTGCCTAAACACATTAGCTTTTTATACGATGCGTTCGTGAATACCACTGCTTCACCCAATAACGGTGGAGCTGAAGAGGTAAGATATACTGCTAACGAGCAGTTAGAACGCCTAATGGCAATGCAGACTGAAGGAGAAAATCCGGCAGCGCAGAATCAAGATCTTGATGAACAGGGCTATGCGGATCTAACAAAAGTAAAGACGGAGCGGGATGCCGTGGCGTTCTTTGCACGGCATGGAAGCACAACAAAAACCAAATTTCTCTTCTGTAATAGGGCACCCACAGATCCGATGGTATTTGATCCGTACAAGCTAGTCGTTGTGCCACAGAATGAAGTGAATCCAGAACACTTCACCATATCGGAAACGGCAGTAATGCATATTTGCCCAGGAAAGCCGTCAGAGTGCTTCAGGCAGGACGAGTGGATGAGACAAGCATTCGTCCATTCCCTGCTGCGGACTCTGCCATTCTTCAAGACTTTTGTCGCTCGGAAGGTCTTATGCTTGTGGAGTCATGCTTCAAGGAAACACGTGTTCGACGAGCGGAGGGAAACGCTATGTAAAACGCTTTTCGTAGCCAAACCGATATATTGTGAACACCTACTGCAAATTCACAAAGTACTCGCCGGCGTCAGCGAAGTTAAACTAGTCGAGCTGCAACCCACACTCTATGATATTTCGCAATTCATCGCCCAGCAACAGGCTCTTAGCTCGGATCCGAAGACTGGAGCAACTAAAGAGCTGGAGGTCAGCACAAAGTAGAAGAGCATTGACGGCTCACATAGAGCCCCATTGATGCTGGCCGCCTGTACAGAAGCGTGTCCAATGGCCTTTTGAGGCTCCTAGGACAAAAAATTGGGCGTCTCTCCAGTGACTGAATCGACAGGCTCCTTTATCAGTTCTACTGGTTGCAGGCCAAGCATAGCGAAGCACGAAGTCTGCTTGCCGCCCTGATGCAGAAGCTCCACGAGGCAACACAACTTCCGGAGGTCGATCCCATGCAAGCTTGTTCTACAAATAAAGGAAAGTCAATTTTCCAGGCAAAAAGAGAGGCGGCAGAGCAGCAGAGACGTATACGGCTAGCATACAAGAACCAAGCACTCTTCGGACAATTTATACTTCTTGTCGATCTCATCCTCACCATGAGACTTGCAAAGGTGCGACTCTCTAGCAGCTGCAGGCCCACTTTCATGCAGAAATTGTTTCTGCCTAGACGGCGTGTCTGCTGCTTAGCGGCTTTGTAGTGGGCGCCTATGAGGGGATAAGAAAAACGTGTGCAGTGTTCAACAGCCCTACAGCAGGAGCCTTTCTGGGGTTGAGGGAAATATATGCAGTCATACATCGTGTCTATATCCTACCCCCGTGCAGGCCGTCACTAACGCAGCAGCCAAGATGTTAGAACGTCTTGGCACAGCAGAAAACTGCTCGAAGCTCTTCTCAGTTAACGTGTCCTTTGGAAGCAAGAAAGTTGAACTCGACCCTAGCCGTTTGGACTTCATCTCCATGCATCAGGAGTGGTGGGATGGTAAGAAATTACACTTGAAGGTGTGCCTCCAAAATGCACATGCGCCAGTACACAAGATTTAAGCTGGCATTCCAAGCAACTCCGCAGCGATTCCGCATCACACTTGGAGCAGCCTGCCAATAATCAGATAGGCCAGGACACCTCTGTAACTTAGAGATGTACGCACTAATAGGAGATCAAACTAAAACTTTTCGACTCAAAGACAAATCGACGGCGAGTATTCCGTGAAAACACAGGCGTCATTTCCACCGTCAGCAGTGTCCCTTTACTTAGCCAATGCCGCCAATTTGAAGACTCAGTTGCACAGGGGCCAACGCTAAGTCTGGAATCGCTGCTATCGAAGTCCAAGCACTTGCAGGTTATGAAGGTACTATTGAATGCCTTGCAGTACAGAAAATTTAGCTATTTTTCTTTAACAGAACGCCTTCGTACTTCATGCGTTCAAAACTAATTTCTCACTAGATGAAACGCTTTTGCGCTGCAATAGAACAGCTTTACACCAGAAGCGCAATCACACTGGTGATGTCATGTGACTCAAGAGGGCAACAACACTAAACTGTTGTGCAGAAACGAATTGAAGAGAGACTTTTCAAAGATTTCGACCGCGCGCAAAAGTACTCGGAGTCGTACTTCGGAATATACAGGTGAAGAATTCATGTCGCTATATGAACAGCCAAGGCTGTCTCTTGGATATGCTCATTTTGGGCTCCCTCGAAGATAATAATACTTTTACCATGTACGTTTCCCTGGGAAAACGCCTTTTGTTGACTTATTGCTTGCCTGAAACAGGCAGATTTACGAATATGGACGGAATTGGGACGAGACGGAATTCGCCAATTCGATAACTGGCCACGATGAACTGTCCAGTGAAATGGAGTTAATAACAGAGTTTGAGGAGAAACTGGAAAAACTCAACCCCGTACACGCAGTTGGGCTATTTTCAATAGAAGCGAGGACTCTTAAGTCCTCCTTGCAGCCCATTACGGAAAGAGCCCTCACTTTTATGAAACGCCTTCTGTGGAAACTCATGAAAGAGCACGTGAGTCCTAGAACTCGTAACATTTTGCAAGTTTCAGTGGGGGATTTTTCTCCTTAACGTCTATACTGCCAGGAATGCATGCCAAGCTTCAGCTTCCCCAGCCCTCGGCTTTTTCCTTGATTGCGCTTTTGACATCTTCTCCTGCCCTATGCCATTCGACTGCTTAACTTTTTAGGTACGAGCCACTGCAAGCCGCTTCGAATCCATAAACAGGCGCCTAGATGAACGCCCTACGAAACTGCTGTCTTTTGCCTCTTTCGTGAGTAGCTGCAAGGAGATCAAGTCTCAAATTGAAGACCTAGATCGAGACAAGGTGCGCAAAACGTCCCAGAGGCATGCCTTCGCAGAGATATACAGACCAATATTGCTCAGAGAGACCTCGTCAGATACTATCAGCTTTACCGGGGACGCTGGTTTATTATACAGGCAGATGCTGAAGAAATGTTTGCTTTGTTGAAACAATACGGTGTCCGGCTGGCTGTCGAAGACACCATTCAGCTGGAAAATATGCTGAAGAGTGCAAACGAGTTTGAGACATTCAAGCTACTGGATGCAGCAGAGCACATTAGGTACCCAAACTTAGGGTTTCCTGACTCAGACTAAATACAAATTCCTCCGCAGTAGATAGCTTTCTGTCGGAAAGTGAAGTCTGGAAAGAGCGGGAAACCCGGAGAAGTGGGCGCAGCTGATTCTTTCTTTGCGCAGGAACAACATTCAGGCTATGAAGCTTGAGCTGAAAGCAAAAACTCAAGAGGTGGACAACGAGATACAGGACCTAGACAGGCTCGTCAATGACGGTGAATCCTGTCTGCATTTATAAGTCACAGAGTATGGAGTGCCAAAGTGTCTCTTAACGCGTCCCGTTTAGAGCCTGGACTGGCGGAAGCACTCCGCCCTTATTGCAAAATTGCTCTAACTGCGTCTTCACATGTTCCAGATGAGTACACACGGCTAGATGCATTGAAGAACGCCACCAGGTGCTTTGAGCAGCTGAAGGAATACCAGCAGCGCATCGACTTCGCCTATGGCAAGGCAGAGACGCTCAGAGGCATGAAGGAGCTCCTCGCTCCAGAAAGTCCTGCTGTTATTTCCAAGCAGACTCAAGAAACGTTCCGCAGAATAAAGCCAAAGGTGGAAATGTGGCAGCAAATCTGCTCTTGGCAGGCCGACACGTCAAAGGTTAGGATAACTTTGAGCTGCTTACATCAACCGCAGCCCTGCACACCAGTGTTTCTTCCCGGTAAACTGAAAAAAACAAAATAATTTGGAACTAGAATGGAGCTGATATGGGATTGATGCGATTGCTCTGTCTTCCCGTGTTCTTATAGTGGCTTGGCCTGCCTTTGTCCTCATTGAACTCTGAAGAAATAGAAGCTAGGGTGAAGCGATACCTGAAGGAAGCTTGCATAGCTCTGCAGAACTTTCCAACCGACTCCGTCGCAGTAGAGTTCAAAAAAGAAGTTGAGAGCTGGATTGCCCGCTTGCCGCTTATTATGGATTTGGGTAACCCTGCCCTCAAACGGCGACACTGGGAGGCGATTCTTGGAGAGCTTGAGTAAGCGGCAAGCAATGGCTGAAGACGCATTGCGGTTACTGTTGCAGACTCACTTTAGATTGGAGGGCGCGTTCTTGGTGGTGTGGTAACTCTGCATAGGATTCCTGGCACAGAAGAGTCAGTGTCTTTGGGAGAAGTAGATCAGAAAGATATATATTCGAAACGGGACTTTATAAATGAAATATCAACACTTGCCTCAGTACAACAGTCTCTTGTCCAGACCATGGATAAGATTTCAGCCGCTTGGGAAACGCGCGAATTACAGATTAAACCATTTGATGAAGATCCAAATGCCTTTATCCTTGGTAGGCCTGCAGCGACTATTAAACCAGTCGGCGAAGTTGTTCTGAAGAATGGCAACCTTATAACCCCGCGCAGATTCCCTACCGTTTATGCATCATGCCACTGCTTTTCTCTTGTTCTGGTGAAGCGGACCTGAGTGAAGTACTTTCCACAATTGAAGAGCATCAAATATCCATGCAGCGCATGCTGCACAACTCATATGTTGGCATTCTCAAGGACAAAGTGGAATTCTGGGCTGGGAAACTTGACCTGGCGCAACAAGTCCTGGGTATGAGACAAGAACCTACTGTTGGCCAGCTCTGCATCAGCTCTAATCGCCTTTATGCTGAGTCGTTTGCCTTTGGTTTTCAGTTTATTGTCGCTCTGCGGGGGGCGTTCTTGCGATGTGCGTGCTTCAGAGGAGCTGGCACAACTTCAGCGCCAGTGGATTGGCCTTCAGAGCATTTTCGGCAGCGCTGAGGCACTAGAACAATTACCGGATGAGACAGAAGCATTTGAAAGGGTTGATGGATTTTGGAGGGCGTATCTGCGGAAGATTCGAAATGAGCAATCCAACGTCATAACAGTTGTGGAAGAAGAAGGGCTATTCGAGATCCTTGAGGAAAAAAACAAAACGTTAGCTGCAGTGCAGCGTAAGCTAGAGGTAATTTGGTTGGTAGAACCCACCAAAGTGCAAATATATAGAGTGAACTGGACAAAAGGCTTCTTATGGGGAGTAGATATCTGTGGATTCCGAAGCTAGTGTTTTGTTCGATGCACTGGTTCAGGACTACCTTGATCTGAAGCGTTCGGCCTTCCCAAGATTTTATTTTCTCTCCAGAGAGGAACTGGTCAAGATAATCTCGAAAGCCAAACAGCCCAACGCCTTGCAACAATGCTTCCAAAAGTGCTTCGATGGAGTCCATGCTGTGGCTGTGGCACCAAATGGAACTTCAATTGAAGCCCTGTATTCCGAGGATGCATACAAACTGGACCTCCTACTGCCTGTCAATGCGCTAGCACCCGTCGAACAATGGTTTGCATCCCTTGAAGAAGCTATGATAGAGTCGTTGAAGATTAATTTGAAGGCTGCTATTCAAACGAAAGTGGACCCAGGAGTCGACTTGGAGCAATGGCTGAATGAACACCCTCCTCAGTGCATATTGACTGCAGCAATGATTCACTGGTTTTCCCGAACGGAGGATGCTCTTCACCTAGCGCACTCTCAAGGAGAACTTGGCGCCTTTCAAGAGCGCTTGGAAGACACCAACAACGAGATTCAACAGTGAGATATACACTTAGGCGGCCTTGCTGCTGGTAGAAAGTGAGAAAAATAAATGCCGCACTTCAGTGATTTAGATCATCGGTAATGAGCTGATATGCACTTTGTAGTCAAGGCCGTCGGCATGATTTTGGCGTGCCTTTGCGAAGAGATATGTAATTTGTTGAGAATGCGCCAACGTGGATCAGCCACTGAGCGGTTCGCGCGTAGAAGATTTGGCGAAATCGTGTGCTTCACCGTCTCTGCCTTCAGGCTTGCATTGCTCAATTCAAAGACAAATGTTCCGTCAATTCAAAAATTGGCGCAGTCTTCGCTTGTTTTGATGGTTCATGCCCGTGACATTTTGAGCGCTTTGGGTCGGGCGAAGAACATCAGCCCTTTGTGTTTTGAATGGAATAGACAGCTGCGCTACTACTGGCAAACTGATGAAGAGCACTGCAATATTGAGCAGCTGCAGGCAAAGTATGATGGCAGCTATTGCGCAAACTGAGCAAAAAGGCAGTATATAGTTTTTTAGCTTCTTTGAGATCGCATCAGAAAGCTACATGCCAAGCTAAGCCGTCTAATTCTCCCACTGCGTTTTGTCGTCTTTGCTACTACAGATTCCAATACAGGCACGAATTTCTCGGGTGCTCATCGAGATTGGTTATTACACCCTTGACCGACAAGTGCTTCGTGACCCTTACTTCGGCCTTACAACTTGGGTATGGTGGAGCTCCTGCTGGGCCTGCGGGAACAGGTATAGCGTACACTGTTATGCTGAAGGCATACCCGCTGTTTAAACCCTATGGACGAAGCTTCCTCTATACCCGGGCCGACACGCGCCACACTACAAATGTAATAGCATGGGATATGCGATGTTACCAAAGGCGTGCGCTGAGTGCTTGCTACGCAATGCAGGAAAGACTGAAACAGTGAAGGACTTAGCAAAAGCCTTGGGGTTGCCCTGTCTTGTCTTTAATTGCTCAAAGGACTTAGACCACCACACTATGGCTCGCCTCTTTAGAGGCTTGGCTCAAACTGGCGCGTGGGCATGTTTTGATGAATTTAACAGGATTGACATAGAGGTCTTATCGGTTGTTGCGCAGCTGCTTTTAAAGATCCAAACAGCCGTAAGGGCTCAAAAGGATGTCGTCGAATTCGACGGTAGAACTACTCACGTAGACTTCAGGCAAGCGAAACAAATACGGGACATTTTGCCTTTTCGAAGCGCACGGACGGTTGAGGGAAGCTTTCAAGGCTTCCAAAAGTGCCTATTGGTCATGGGGTGTCTGTCAGGGTAGGAGTATGTATTACCAACAACCCAGGATATGCTGGAAGGACAGAACTGCCTGAAAATCTTCAGTCGCTTTTCAGGCCAGTGGCCATGGTCAAACCGGACTTTACGCTGATTGCTGAGGTTCTCATGCTTGCTAGCGGCTTTCTTACGGCAAGCTCTTTGTCAACTAAAGTAGCGCAGGTTTTTTCAATATCAAGCGCTCTACTTAGCCAGCAAATGCATTATGATTGGGGACTTCGAGCAATGAAAACGGTTCTGGTAGCTGCTGGTAAGTCTGTTTTACCAAATACTAGACTATGGGCGATTGTAGTGCTGTAAGATGCGACGAGACGGTTACACGGTAACTTCGCCAAGTCCTCTTCGCTCGTGACTCTGGGCAGGACAGATGAAGAAAAATCAGCCTGAAGATGACGAGGCAAGTATAGTAATGCATGCTCTTCGATCGGTTACTCCAAGACTTGTCACGGATGACGTTCCTGTATACTTAGGACTTATAGCTGACATGTTTCCCCAGCAAAGATTACCTAAGGCAAGTGACAGCCCCATGAAAGCCGCACTAGAAAAAGTTCTTCAAGAGCAGCATCTCCAAGCTATACCCAGCTTTGTAGAAAAGGGAATGGAGCTTTATGAAACCCAGCTTCTCAGACATGGTTTGCTTGTGGTAAGTGGAAAAAAACAAGCGACTCGCAGAGAATTCTTGCACCGAATTCTCGAATTTTGCAGGCAGATTTTTGAAAGTAAGCAATCATACAATGCTCACATGATTTTGGGGTCTCGGATACCATTGTGGACCTGGGTAAACAAGCAAAGTAGTTAGACCTGTTCTCAGGTAGGAGCACCCGGAGTGGGCAAATCAACATTAATCCTCGGTTTGTCAAGAGCAATGTCTCACATTCTCGAAAAGCAGAATAATTCGTGCTCTCCTGGAAGTGCTCAGCATGAAAGCTTCGGTATCACCGGTAACTGTGAGGTGTTGCGAGTGAACCCTAAAGCAATGGAAGAGAGTCTGCTGTTTGGAAAAATTGACTCCAATACCACCGAGTGGCTGGATGGAATTGTAGCAGCGGTGGGTTCAGTGCATTGGGCTTGCTGGATATTTCTTAAGCTCTACACAATAGTTTTCTGTGGAACAATAAGGTCTAGTGGGCTGTGGAGTGTGGGAATACTTGCGGATTTCGGTTTTGCCTACAGCGTGTTAGAGACGCCGTTGCGTCGCAGAGGAGCACTCACAATTGGCTAGTCCTCGACGGCCCATTAGATCCAAATTGGGCAGAAAATTTGAATTCGGCCCTAGATGACAATAAGCTGTTATGCCTTAGCAATGGGGAACGTATTGTCCTGCCCGAAAACCTCAAGATTTTCTTTGAAGTAGCTGTAAGAACAGTGCTTTGGTGGTTCCTCGGAACTTTGCCGAACTAAAAAGAAACGTTCGTCTCCTGCTGTGACATAAGCCTTTCCACACCGGCGGTCATCGTTTCAAAAGCCAAATTACTTCGGAGATTTTCCATTGTTTTGGCTTTGTGAGGTAGGAATTAGGAGCTGCTTCTCCTGCTACAGTCAGTAGGTGTGGAACTGTCTTCATCGAGCCCGAGCACCGAGGATGGTCGCTGTTATTCCAGTCCTGGAGACAATCATATGAAGCCCAAAAGAACAAGTTTGCATCCCTTTCCTCAGAGATAGAGCTTTGGTGTATCTCCACTTTCCAGAAAGGCCTTGAGTACATTCATGGGAACTGCAAGGTTGGTTGCATACGGCTGCTTGGCCTGTGAACACTGCATTGTCGATTGAAGTTTACGATGGGTTCCGGTCTAGCCCACATCGAGTTCTGGCTCACGCACACTCCTTGAGCAACCCACTCATAGGACTATCCCAGTGAAACTTCAGTGTCTACCTGGAGAATGTGCGTGTTGTTCTTGCTCAGTTGGCAATGCCATGGAGTGACTTGTTTCTTGCTGCCTCAGTGTGCCGGCTTCTTACAGCTTTGCTGAATCAAGTTACCCTGCAACATATAGCCGCGGAGCACACTGATGATGTGGCACGCATGTATTTTGCTGTTGCAATGGCATGGGGTCTTGGCGGACTCTTGAATCATGAGCAGCGAACTGAGTTTTCAAAAGCCCTGCTTCCAGACTTACGCATTGTCTGCAAGCAGCTTGAGAGCCTTCCTTCCTCGGCAACCATTTACGACATTACGCCGGACGTAACTACTTTGAAGCTGACAACCTATGACGCTTTGGTGCCCAAGTATGCGTTCGAGAGCGGGCTTACAGTTACCAACATGTTTGTGCCAACAGTGCGAACAACAGCCAACTTGCAGATGCTTCAAACGATTGCGCAGGTGAGGCTTTCCGGGACTCGCGCGCCTGTGGCTACGGGGAAGTACCATGCGAGACAAATTTCTCCCAGTGGTGTATTCGCGCAGATTGCAAAAGTGAAAGCTTTCTGATGTTAACCTTTCCAGGGCGGATACGGGGTTCTGCTTTCTGGTAAACCTGGCACTGGAAAGAGCGCTTACCTCAAGCAGTGTACAAGAGCACTTGGAACTTCACAGATGTACTGCAAAATGTCGTTAGGACAACGAACTACCACAGACGACGTGGAAGACTTCGTGCTGTCTCGTTTCGTGAAGCGGCACCGGAGATCGCTAGGACCGCCCTATGGCTCTCGAATGCTGTTTCTAATTGACAACATAGCAGTACCTATCCCAGATCAATTTGGAGCACGAAGACCCCACCAATTGTTAAGACAGATTGTTGAGTATGGGGGTTTTTTTGAAAGGGCACGCTTTCAGTTTATTCATGTCGAAGATACAAGTACTATCCTTTCCGGAGCAACAGAAGTGGCAGGGGTTGCCACCGACATGAGGTAAGTTCTTATTCTAAGCTCATCAGCTGTTGCAACAAATTTGTGAACACACGCCTCAATGTAAACTGAAGCGCAAGGTGTTGGGGCTTCTTTTTTGTCTTGGTGCTAGGCTTCTCCGTCATTTCAATGTTTTGTTTCAAGACGACTATGCCCCAGCAGAAATAAAGTACATCTTTACACAAATCCTTCGCGGAGCTTGGGAATATAGCCTACCAGCATTGTCCAACTATGCAGAAGTCATGATTGATGCCACTGTAGCAGCATACGAGCGAATCAAAGGACATCTGCTGCCGACTCCTCTCAAGTGCCACTACACATTTACAGTGCGCGAAGTTTCAAGAGCACTGGAAGTCATGCTCATGGCAGATACCAGTAAAATCACCACCCAAATTGACATTGCTCGGTGAGACGAAAGCTGAAGTGTTGCCACTGCCCCGATTTTCTCGAGCGAAGTGGTGTCGTACTCTGTACGCGGTCTGTCTACTGTCGCATTATGAGTAGGCTCTGGCTCCACGAAATGCAGAGGCAGTTTGTAGATCGTCTGATCTCCATAGAGGACCGAAAATGGACGGAAAGGGTGTTGCTCAAGCAAATTTCCGCCTCCCTTGACCTAAAAGATGAGTTGGAGGACTGCGTTTGTTCCCAAATACTTTTCGGCGACTTTGCCGAGATAGGTTCCCGCAAGAATTACTCAGAGATTTCGATTTCAGAAGAAGAGATGAATGTCATTCTCTCTAGGTATGCTCTAAGAAATCGTGGCCTTCTATTTTGAGCCCAGTTCAAGACCAGAAGGGCTTCATAAGAAGTGAAAGTGGAAGCTATGAAACACTAAAATGGTGTAGTACGGTGACTCGTAAAAGAAACTAATGCATACTGCTGGCTTAATTGTTTTGCTGTTTAATAGGTACCTTGAACAGTATAATGCAGTGGCAAAAACACCCCTCGACCTGGTGTTTTTCGAACACGCAAACAAGCATATCGCTAGGCTATGCAGGATACTGAGAATCCCTGGGGGGCATGCACTTCTTCTAGGTTCAAATGGTTCAGGTCAGACTCCCATGTCCCGCAGAATGATCGAAAGCCTTCTGGGGAAAATTCCGTCCACCGTCTGTGGCTGGCACGGTGGTTGCTGAGTTACCCAGAGAGAGAGTCCATCTGCGTTCTCTTGTGAGACAAACGCATCCAACCAATCTCGAGTTCTATACATACATGCGCTGTATTGACAGGCCGTGAAAGTTTGTCTAACCTAGCTGCTTCCGTAATGGACTTCAGCGCCGTTACTATTTCGTCAAGGTCTCGGTGGGGTCCTAACGACTTGCGGGAGGACTTAAGAGATCTTATTCTTCAGATCTGCGCAGACAAGAAAGACCTAGTTTTCCGCGTCTCAGAATCTAAAATTAAGCATGACGAATGGCTGCAAGATATAACTACCATGATTGTCACAGGTGAATTGTTGTATTGACTGCTGCTCACAGTGATTGCCGCAGCCTTCATTTTCACATAGATTTTTTTTTGTCTGCTACATTCAAATATGGCTCAGCAGTTGTACAATGTTCAGGAGAGATATACGGAATCTTTGATCAGTCCGATAGGGAAAAACTTTCGTTTCAAGTGAGGTCCCCCGAAAAGCCGGAGCCCGGAAGTTCCGCTGATGGTTGGGAGGCAGTTGTGTCTCTAATTCAGCGGAAGCTACACTTCGTGATTAGCATGTCCGCTTCTGGCGAGGCTTTCAGGCAAGTGCTTTCAACGCATCACATGCAGCTATGGAAATTAGCAGAAATCGCGTCATGTTGTTATATTTTCTGAGCATTGAAGGAAATCACATCACTTACTCGAAGTAGTACAGTTTTTGTGATTAGTATTGCATGTTCGCACTATGTTTTTGAATATACTCGCTCAGCATCTATGTGTTACGCTTAAAATGGTATGGAAGGCTTTCTTACGTGAACCGCTTCACTGCGTGCTTACAGATCCAGGTGCCGCCGCCTTCCTGGTTTACTGAGTGGCTGCATACTCGACTTTTACGACCCATGGCCCCGATCTGCCCTGCATGCAATAGGCACAAAAATTTTGGCAAAGTCTCCACTGCTAAGCGCTGACGAGACGCGTATGCTCTCAAGGCAAGCGGCAAACCCCGCAGCCCCGGCGTGTTCCAAATAGAGCAAGTACACGTCTTTACGCGAAAGTTTTTAGCTTAGTGGAGAAGCAGATGTCCTGCATTGTGGCATTCTTAGTGCATCAGCGGAAATGTACTCGGCTACTGAGCGAATAACGGAAAAGTTCATGACTGTGACTGGAGAGCCTATTCACGTGACGTGCACGTCCTTTGTGGAGCTAGTTCGGCAGTACTTGATGCTTTTTGCAACAAAGAAAAAGAATTTAGGTGAGCTGTAGACATATTGTCAAAGGTCAATTTCGTTGATTGTGTAGGGAGACATATTCGTTCCAGGTCCTTAGCCGCGTAAGCAATCAAAGCTCGTGTGACATGCAGATGAGCGCCTCCAAAAATATACCTCGGGGATCCGCAGGCTGGAGGAAACGTCCTCTGCGGTGGAAAATATGAAAGCAAAGCTCCTGGCGGATCAGCCACTCCTCGAAAAATCAAGAGAAGAGGCAAAGACTGTGGCGGCCTCACTAGCAGAAGATAAAGAGGTCCGCAGGGATTTGGCCTAGAAGTCTGTCTTATGGTAGTTTTACTTGTGGAGCTTAGCCATCAACACAAGAGCATTTTGTGCACAATTTTTGTTCCGAATGAAGATCTTCACGTTAGATTTATGAAATTAGTTTCTGGAGAGGCTGCTCGCTGTTCGCTGTTGAAACCATGCAGAAAGCAGCAGTAATGGAACAAAGCTGTTCAGTTGAGAGGGCAGCAGCAAATTTAGCCCGCATAGAGGCTCATTCCATACGCGACGACTGTCAAAGGGATATTGATGAAGTAATGCCCCTTCTGCATCAAGCACTCAAGGCCCTTGAAGCGCTTGACAAACGTGACTTACATGAAGTAAAGTCCTTTCCTTCCCCTCCAGCGCTTGTCGAAACCGTGATGAATGCTGTTTGCGTCCTTCTTGGACGCAAAGAATCATGGGACGAGGCCAAGAAAGTACTAAATGAAACGTCTCTGCTAACCACTCTACGGGAATATGACAAAGATCATATTTCACCCAAAGTTCTACAGCAGCTTAGCAAATACACTGCACTTGAGGATTTCCTCCCGGAGAGAGTCGCCAATGTGTCGAAGGCAGCGACTTCGTTGTGCATGTGGGTGAGAGCAGTCGAAAGCTACGCACAAGTAAGCAACGCAAAAAGCGAGAGAGCTTCTAGGAAGCCTACACAGAGACGTACGTGTATAAGCTGAGCGGCACTGGCCAATTACCATTTTTCAGGTTCTCAAGGTCATGGAGCCAAAAAAAAAGAGGCTTTCAGACGCAGAGGAAGTTCTAAAGAAGGCGGAAGATGATCTGGCCGAAAAACAGCGGTCTCTTGATCATGTCCAAGGGAGGTGAGCCAACGCTTTGGGGCCCCGTATCTTCAAAATGTTGGTCAAATGCTTTAATCGATATGCAAAAGTGCCACTAGAGTGCTGGAACACGTAACGTAATTCGCTCAAGGGGCGTGCGCTGCTATCCTCCGACCAGGGTCCAATCACTAATAGAGCAGTACAGTGAATGCCAGGAGAGAGTTAAGGATCTGGAAAATCAAATACAAGTAACAGAGCAAAGACTTGCCAGGGCTGGAGAAGTCCTATCCGGAGTGTCTGTGGAGGGAGAGAGATGGGCTACTGATGCAGAAGCCGTGAAGGAAGATATGTCGAACCTTTTGGGCGACATTCTCATGGCAGCTGGTAATGTGTCTTTGCTTACAAGCATAGACATGTTATTCAGACCCAATTACTTCCAGTCAATTTCATTCCACGCATCATAGGAGGATGCTAGCGACTTGCCGAGGAATTTGCACTGGAGCACATTTCACTCTAGGTTGAACATTTTGCGGTGCGGATATTTGAACATCTGCAGGTATGCTCACTTATTTTGGGCCATTCACGCACGAATACCGAGAGGAATTAAGTCGTCACTGGCTGAGCATCTGCCTTGAAGAGGGCATGACTGTAAGAGAAGACTTTTCCATCGCTCGGACCTTGTCGTCGCCTTCTGAAATGAGGCAGTGGTCACTTGAAGGATTGCCGTCGGATGCTGCATCAATCGAGAATGCTATTCTGGTCTGCAACTGTTCAAAATGTCCCTTACTGATTGACCCTGAAGAGCAGGGTACCCGTTGGTTCAGAAGGAGGAACTTTACACGAGAGTTCAAAGAAATTTCTTCTGTCGACGATGATGCTTTGCGACTCATATCTGAAGCTGTCACTGCTGGGATGATCGTTCTTGTCATTCTTTCTGAGGGGACTCTGGACCCAGCGCTTGGGGCTCTGCTGAGAACAGTGGTATGCGCACAAACTTCATGGATTGGTTTCGAATTCTTTACAAGACGGTGGAAATGCACAGTAACTAAGTCCAAGGCAATGATGTGAGCGCCTTTATATAGTAACTTACAAGCGTGGCATTAGTTGCTTGTCCTTCGCTATACAGAAGAGCTGGCCAGAGGAACGCAGAATTGTTCATCTTGGAGACCACGCGGCCATTTGGAACCAACACTTCAAAATGGTTTTGGCGACAAAATTATCTCCATCTGAGCTGGCTCCTGAGCTATACACCCAATTGAGCGTCGTGAATTTCCGGGTTACTCCAGCAAGCCTTGAAGAACAGCTGTTGAATCAGATTGTTGCCCACGAAGCGCCACATCTGGAAGAGCAGCGCAGTGTGCTCGTAACGAGTATTGCAAAAGATCTTGAACTTAAAGCTGCAATTCAGGAAAAAATCCTCCTGGTGAGATATTGAACAGCAGCCTTTGCCTTAAAAGTACGCATCTGGCACTCTTTCAGCATAATGTCAATCTTCACGTCAATCAGCAGCTGCTTAGTGTTGCTTAGTGTTGGAAGGCACTGCAGCTGAAAATAGCAACATTTGTGCTCCCTCTGTCTTTCTTGGGTGCGCAAAGCTCTTGGCCAACGCCGAAGGCGACATACTGGCGGACGACACATTTCTCAACACCCTGAGAGACTCGCGCACAACGTATGCGGCGATTGAAAGACGTATGGAGGAGGCTTCTGCCACAGCGGACAGGCTTGAGGAGACCAGGCAACTATATAAGTTGCTTTCTCATCGCGGCACACTGTTGTACCTTGTACTGCGAGCTTTGTCCCATCTTAACCCATTTTATCAGTGGTCCCTCGAGGCTTTTAAATTTCAGCTACAGTCAACATTGCAGAGCTGCCAAGATAAAAGCGAAACCCGTGGGCAAAGCCTTCAGGAACTGTTCACATGGGAGGTATACTGCAGTACTTGCAGAGGACTCTTCGAGTCCCACAAGCTGGTCCTCGCGTTTATGATTGCCAAGGCCCTTGATACTGAAGCAGGCAATGTTCCGCGGAAAGTGCTTGAATTTTTTTTGAGGGGAATTACGGAGGAAAGTAAAGGCCATGCATGCCCTCCTCAGGTACGGCTTGGCATGTTGAGATCCCATGTGCGTTTGCCGCATTGCAAGACTCTTCTGTAAGTGTTGTGCAGCTCGCACCGGATTCGTAAGTTTACAATGAGTTATGCAAACTATGCTTAACACTCAGCCAGTCTGGACAAGCCCAGAAGTCTGGCGCAACATTGTCTTTCTCGACAACAGCATCGGAGGTTGCTTCAAAGGATTTGCCAAAGAAGTGGCAGATGATGAAGGCGACTGGAGAAAGGTACTTGAGAGGGATGAAGAATTCCCATCGATTATGCCACAAATTAATGGCGAAGATCTGGGGCCGTTTGCTTCTCTAGTTGCTCTTAAAGCCATAAGGTGCGCTCATTGACTTCTCGGCATGGCTTCTTGACAGTTTCCAAAGAAGATTTTCTGAAATGAATTGTCAGTGACGTCACACCTTTAGAATATCAATTCCACGGCATATACGTTGCTAGCTGTATCATGCTAACTTGCGTTTGGTATACTCAGGGGGAGCGAATTGCGTTTCGGGTGCCAACTATACGTGCAGAACGTATTGGGCCCGCGATATATGAGTCCACCCCAGCAGGATCTTTCAAAGGCTCTGGACGACTCTAGTCCATTAACGCCATTAATTTTTATTCTGTCACCTGGAAGCGACCCTATCGGCTCTATAAAAGTCCTAGCTGATCATTGCTCATTACCGGAAGACCAGCTGCATATCATCTCGCTTGGCCAGGGACAAACTAAGGCAGCCCAAAAGCTGTTGCAGGAGGCTGGGTAAGCAAAATCTCTAATGCCACTCTGGGGATAAGACCTCATGCTTTCTTGCGAACGTATGCGCTCCTGCTCCAATATTCCGGACACCAACTGTCTGCAAAATTCGTGAATTTAATGCTATTGATTGTTGCCATGTGCCGTTTCCGCCGTTTAGGGAACACGGAGGCTGGGTTTGCCTTCAGAATTGCCATTTGGCTGAAACATTCATGCCTTATCTGCAGCAGTCGTACGAACACTTCCAGCAGAAAGAAATGCATCAACAGTTCCGAATTTTTATGACCTCCCATCCTACCAATATCCTACCAACTAGTATAGTAAAGCAAGGCATCAAAATCGTCACTGAGCCACCGACTGTAGGTTTATTTTGACCTATTGCCCTGAGTTCGAAGAAATTGGATATTATGTAGTCCAGGCTGCGTTTAATCCAAAATCCACTGATGGTGGTAGCGCGTGCTTTTGAGGGATTCGTCATCTCAACGAAGAACCTGTAGTTCCACCGACAGGGGTAGCTCGCCGTTGCCTTCGCCTTCTAAATTCAGGGGCTTCGAGACAACATTTTGCAGACCTTCACCGATCTAGACAACAGCGGCGCAGAGGACATCCCGGACTGTCCAAATTACAAGCGTTGGCTCTTTTCACTGGCACTTTTCCATTCGATTATCCTAGAACGTCGAAAATTTGGAGCCCTTGGGTGGAACAAGGCATACGAATGGACAGTTTTTGACTTTCGAGTGAGCTGACAGTGCTGCGCCAAATATTTACACTGCATAGTTGTCCCTGAACGCTGCTGAGTTGCTGATAGCTGAATACGGTCGTGTGAATACAGAGGGACAGGAAACAAGAATGTGATATCCAAATAATGTTATTTCCGCCTTTTGACAAACGTGTTGCTGTTTGTTTTATGGCTCCACAGGTTTCTCAACAAAGTCTGTACGAATGTGCCTGTATCAATGAAGTGGGGACGCTATGGGACAGAATTGTTTTCTTGACAGCTGATATCCATTACGGAGGCCGCGTTACAGACCAAATGGACCAAAGGCTGCTGAAATCATTGTTAAAGCGCTGCTTTGCTGCAAATAACCCGGAATCTCAGACAGCAGACCCGGCTCTAAAGGGTTATGTCCTTCCATCTGACTACTGTTACAAAGATATCGCCGAATTCGCCATGTGCTTGCCGGCTGATCCAGCTCCTGAAATCTTAGGCCTCGACCCAGGGGCTGCCGTGGTGTACGCACGCAAAAAACAGAAAATTCCCCCAAAATTGGGTCTTTCCACCGCTTCCGTTTGCCGTATTAAGAGCCACCTAGTTAGTTATCTTTTGATCTACTGGCGCGTTTCTGTGTCTCAGCTACAAAGAAATGCAGAGCAGCCAACTCCTAGACTCCCTCATCAGCGCACATCGAGAAATGCAGGCGCATACTGGAGGAAACAAAGATGACAGTCTAATAAGCACGATATCAGATATACTTTGCAAGCTGCCTCCTGATATTTCCTCGGAGAAATCCAACACTAGCGTGTTCCAGCTGCACGAAAATGTACAAACGGGGCTGAGTGAGCTAAGCCCTTTGAGCGACTTTCTTAAGGGAGAGATTCAGTGTTACAATACTCTCCTCACCTTTATCCAAGTTTCTCTCACACAGCTTCTCGAGGTACGTTCAGCGCAGCGGCGAATGGATCACACAAGGGAGCAGGCTTTAATCAAGCAATTAAAATCTCACAGGGATTCATCTTTGGAAAATGTGGGGCTTCAAGAGCAGGAATAATTCGTATGCATGATACAAAAAGCTTAATTCACAGTTCAGTCCATAAGCACTATGCTGGGCAGGCACTACGCGGATGGATCGTAATGAGTGAGGAACTGGACAACCTTGGGCAGGCACTCTACTTCCAGAAGGTCCCGAGAGCCTGGATTTTATCATCGTATCCTTCTAAGCTCAATCTTGGGGCATGGCTTCATGACCTCAGTATTCGCGTTAGCAGCACACGACAGTGGGCTCAAAATGGACCACCCAGTGTCTTCAATATTGCAGCGTTTTACAAGCCGCAGAGCTTCTTCAAGGCCACTTTAAGGGTTGTCGCCCGAAAAATTAAGGTACAAAACGATGGAATCTGGAAGCGGCACGCTTTATTTAGCACAACTGCACGTTTACTCCAGAAAAAATCCTCAGTTCACTCTCTAGAGCATAGCAAGTAATTAAGAGGACATCTCAATCTTATACGCTGGAGTGCTACGACGCACTGAAATACACGGTAGTTTTTGACTCACGAATACATACTTACATATATACGTACCATAAAATCTATTCACCTACTACGCATATAAATTAATAGATCTAGTGCCCATGAGAGTCAGTGCCTCAAGCTGCTCAGTCTTACACGCCAGCAATCCAACCTGCGGCACTGTGCATTTCCATCTCGTTCAGGAGCCGCCCTCCGATCTTTCATTGTCTGCTGAATTTGCTGATGCTGAGGAAGTGGTTGATGTACACGCCGCTGCTGATGAGGGAACTCGTATCACAGGTCTCTCTCTCCAGGTAATGAAGGCGCTCCACGCATAGCTCGAAGCTTCGATGCTTCGCGAAGAGCGCAACCTGCTGCCACCACCCGACAAATTCAGATAATACACAAAGTTGTTCTGTCTAAATGCAAGCCTAGTTAACCATGCATAATGTTAATGCCAGCTCAGGATGAACCAATTTGTTTGCTTCTGCAGGGAGCTGCCTGGTCGCTTGAAAACAAAAAGCTTGTTGATGCCAAGCCTAAGGTAATGTTTCAGGACATGCCGCCAATTCTGTTGGTCCCGAAGATGTCTTGCGTGGCAAGTGAAAGCAAATACAAGTAAGTGTAGCCACTGTGGCATTTCCGCAACGCGCCTCGAGGAAACAAAGCGAGAAACCCTCAGATAGCTGGCAAATGACAATTCCAGTCCTAACGCACCACATTTCACCAATGTATGACCTAATCCACAGGTGCCCCATATACAGAACGGCTGACAGGACGGCCTGCTCTGAGGTTATTACCTTCTTAGACTTACCAACAGGTCTGCTGCCAACTCGTGGGCAAAGGCCCTTGCTCCGCCCACCGTCCACTAGGGTCAGCTGTGTTTCCTGCCAGACATTGTCGTTTTGTTTTGCTTGGGTGCATCTCTGCAGATGATGACCCTGAGAAGTGGATTCGTCGCAGTGTTGCACTGCTCTGTGAAACGGGGCAATAGCATGCTGGGCAAATAACGAATACCACTGACAGGCTTCTCACCCAATCACCGAATGTGTAGTAAATGGCAACCACAAATACAATGAGTAGACAACACTCATTTCCATCTTCAACGATTATCTTTTCTTCCGCTTCCTACCCGTGGAAGCCATGTGGGTAGCTAAAAACAGGCAAGATGAGACATCTGTCAGCCATCCACTGTCTCAGCTTCACTGAGATCAACTATGCTGAATCGCAATGATACAGTCATACGTGAGCATAGCACAAGCCAGTGGTTCTACCTAAAAAACTCCTATCCGACCTAAACGCAAAGAAAACTGCATGCATCGCAACAAATTCTTTCCTGTATGTTCAACGACAAGCTAAAGCCAAGTTGCATCCTTAAATCGGCAGTATGCTAATCACACGTCTTGTGCCACAAAATAAACTTGCTAAGTGGCCCGGCATCGTCCGACGCACAAGAAGTATACTAGTAAAAACGGTCGGCACGGCCGCGATGATTCGGTGAAGAGCTGTACCTCACGGGCAGTTCAGGCTGCTAAATCGTTGTGTTCATCATTCGTGCCAGCGCTTCAATGCACTGCACCCGCTCTCGCTGGTGCTCCCCTTAAATCGACAAGTCTTTCTGTTTAATACAAATATGCATATTCGGTTTACATCCATAGGCTTTAGCCAAAGCTGCTTCAATTTGCAGCAGCTGTCGACGCGTAGAAGTGCGATTAACCGGCAAATAAACAATGCGCTGCATCAGCTCAGCCGCCGCTGTTGGAAGTCCCACGCTTCCTGCAGCATTTGGCTTTACATTGTAGCAGACTAGCGTTGTCGTGTCGCTGGCGGTAAATAATCCATGTTTCAGGAGAACGGCCTCGAGCTCAGAAGAAGTTTCACCTTCGGGCACGACGATCGGGAACAGCCTGTAGTGATAAGAAGAGCATTACGTAACTTAAGAAGTGTGGTTAGTGTACGACAACTAGTAAGAACAAATGCGACAAAAGAGATGCGCAAGTAAAGCAAACTAACTGGTCTCCACGTAGTTCCTATGTAGAGTGAGACTAAAACTGCCATGCGAAGCCTCACCAAAATGTCTTGAAACTAGCACCACTTCCTGGAATGCGAAAACCTAAGTGCTGGAGCCTCGAAGCGAACCTCAAAGTGGCCAGCTGCTGCTCGACAAACTCTTCCAAATTCCAAGATTCTAGCCTCTCTCTGAATAGCTCGCATTCACAGCAGCATAAATGACCAGGCATGAAGTCCACAAATCGCCAACACATGTAATGCGTGACACCGTGGAATGTGAAGGTTTTGGGTCCTTACAAGAGCACTGCGAGGAGCGAGGCGCTTGGCTGGACCCGGAGAAGCTTGAAAAGTTCACCTGTGGAAGGGAAACCCCGAACCTGCTTTGCACAGGCCAGTCGCAGTGCAGAGATACCGAATTTCAGGGTATGGTTACGTGTGTCGCTTTTGAAATTCACGAGGCATTACATAGCTCTAATTAAGAAGCGGGAATTCCAGCTCTAGGATATGTGGAGACTCACAAATGATTGAAGAAACGTTCCTGGGTTCCAATGGAGTAAACTAACGCAAGAACAAAAGCAAAAGGCAGGAGAGCTTTCAAATGAAGCGAAACAAGATAATACTTGCAGTCACACGTATCCAGCTCTAGTGGCTGTGAAAGCGACCTAGTTGAGTGCCAGTAGCAGCCTATAAGAGTTTCGACGAAGCTGGGCCTGTCATACTAGCACAGTCTCAGGAAAGTCTTCATTATGAATTCATTCTGCAATCCGCAGGCCCCGAGAGTGACGCAAAGCTTCTTAAAGAATGTCCAACGGCTGCTAAATGGGTACAACGCTTGCAAGGACCGCATACGGGCAGCGACGAACCGACTACGCACCTGCAAAAGACCAGTGCATTTTGAAATCCAACATAGCAACCGTGGTTGCCTTGCCCTTTCTAAACCTTGCATATCTCGATCTAAAACAGCCATATGCAGAAGAAATAGAGAGAGAGCGTTTGGTTGCTACCGAAAGCAAAATCATCTCTTCGTGTTAACCCGTGCAGAACTAAGTCACAAGCTTACTGTAGCAATGCCTCCACCTGCTGCAGTGCATGTTTTCATTAGACCGAAAGAGAAAAGACTGATATCTGCCAAAGGATGACCTGAACAAAACGGCAACAGCGGAAAAGCAACACGCGGATGTACTTCGAGTTGACGCTTGTTATTGACTGCTGCAATTAAAGTCAACGCCGACGAAATGCTTGCGTCGCTGACCTCGGTATAGCTCCCCCACAAAGGATTCCGCGCAGTCCTCAATGAGGAGAAGCCTGTGCTCGGCGCTAAAGTTCACCAGAAGCTGCAAGTCGCATAGCCCGCCGTACAGGTGAGAATGAACAAGCGCCTTAGCTTGAGAGCCCCAACACCTCATTGCCTGCTTCAAACTTTGAGGGGTGGGCATCAAAGTGTGAGGGTCGAGGTCCAGAGGCTGCACGATCAGACGATGCTCTTCCATTACCCTAAACATCATCGGGACGTTTACAGCTCCAACAAGAATTACAGATCCCTCAGGCAATAGCTCAGGCTGGAGTGAACGGACAGCCTGAATGTAAAGGTCTAATAAGCTACGAACGCAAAGACCGACGACGCATTCAAAGGCCTGTTGAGGTGCTGCTTTGCCTCCAGCTGCCGAAAGCTCCTGTTCTTTCGGACCAAAGCCGTGTCGAAAGACCGATGGCACGTGATTTGAGCCGTCGCTTGCATAGGCAGCCAAGAGCTGCACAGGAGGTGCTACGAATGTACCGTCATCTCTCCGAAGAGGACGCCAACTGGCTGGCAACTGCTGGATAATAGATAGATTCCTATTGTGTCCGGAAGTGGCGCCCATCCGCTCCGCGGATTGCTCGCACACTGGATTAGGGCTTTCCTTGTCTATATCCCTGCTTGACAACACCTGGCTGTGGTGGATCGTGCTTGGCATATTGCCGATTATGCCTGCAGCTTTGCTTGTGCTCCGCTTGGCCACTTCATTGTGATGCTGTAAGCCGCTGACGCACGTATGCTCGGCTTGTTGGATATGGACCTGCATGGACCCCTTATAGGCTTGAAGCCATAATTTTTGAAGCTTTCCATGCAGGAAACTGGAAATTTTGAACCTGCCTTTACTGCCAAAGAACACTGCAGCTTTTGCCTCCTCGACTGCAGCAGATGCCGCTGTCCGTAGCATTCGGAGAGCAGCGGTGAAATTCACATCGATGTAGGCTGCAAGCGCTGCCAAAGGATTAAGTGGGCTGGGTGGGTTTATACCTTGAGTGGGGGCTCCATGTGGGAGAATGTCGCAATGTTTCGTAGCCATATGCAAGGTGGAGACTAACTCCGTCTTCAAGTTGGCCATGGTTGTCGGGCCTTGCCGTTTCCCCTGCTTCATCTGAAACGTATCTTTAATTCTCTCAATTATAAATAGAGAGTCTTCAAGTGCGTTCATTTGATCGAGATGCAGCCCTGCGGGGGGCCGCGATTTTCAACAGAAGGCGCCCGCAACAAATCGGGGAATCCCACGTTGACATGAATCTCTAGTGATTTATTTCATCACATGAGTGTCTTTGGTAGAAGGATGCATGCTCGTTTGCACTGAACAGTCTAGCGAAGAGACGGATGAGGCGGTCAACCATTGGTTAACATGGCTTTCGGAGTGAACACTGTTCTGGAGGTGTTAAAAATTGGCTGTGCCTCAATAAATTCAGCACACAAAATTACTTCTGGTTTAGAGGCATGTAAATAAAGCCATGTGGTGGGATTTGGTCCGGCTGCATTCCTTCTGCGAAGCCTCGAGAGCTGCTGGTCGTCGTAGCACGGGTACCAGCGATAGTCGCCAAGGTGGCATCGAAATCTCCTAATATTCAAGGCGTTTCAAATTAATGTGCATTAAGTGATATGCATTGATTTTTCCTTTTGCGCAGGAGTCTATAGCTGCGAAAACTTGACGAAACAGCTTTGGGCGAGCCCTCCCTTTTCCGGTTAGTCATGGAGGCTGAGACTGCTCTAGTTGCCGCTCGCGTCTGCACTGCACGCAGTTCCACGCTTCGTGTTTCGATGTAAATGTTTTGATTCCTTAAATAATGTTCTCTTATGTGCAACGACAATGTTTAGTGTCAAGATTCGCTCGGCTGTCTGTGGGCCCAGCTCTGTAGCGCTCCGTGATGTGGCGGGTTCCTAGAGGAACAGAGCTCCTTAAAAGAGGCAATATTCAGTAATATAAGGTTAAATTTTCCATTAATATCAGTAATGCACCTGTCTGACCAGCAAGAATGCCAGGAATACAAGTACCCGGACTTCGTTCATAGTACTCTCGACGGGCCTCACCATTCATTCAGATATATACTCCCAACAGTACTCCGAGCCTTACGGGATCCTCTACCCTTCCATGTTTCAGAAGATCTACCACCAATGATGCTCCGGGATTGCTCACATTCTCCCGCGTCCACAGAAACATCAGACTAGCCTCTTCATGCAACAGAAGCACGCGAATTGTGAAAGGATAGATTCGAACCATTCTCTGCTTCGAAACGGCACAAGTTGTTGCATGACAGTGTAGTTCGAGCCTTTACAGGTCCTGCACACCACTACATACAGCATCAAGTGCAACTAAGGACTCGAGCGGTATTGTTAGACCGGCCACAGATACGGCCAAGAAAGTCTTGTCAGAGTGCCGGCAAAGCTACATTCGTGGTCCGAGCGAACTCCGCACGGTGTGCACCTGAGCAACACTGCGAAATGGGTCCACCCTCCAAGGCACTACAGGCATTCCTACTGTAGACGATGAGCAATCCCTGAGTCAGATTGGATCCTTGCCCATGGACAAGGCACTTCGTCCAAATTTGGGCGCATCTGGCAGTGCCCTGTTCTCTAAGTTCTATAGGGAATCACTGAGAGCTAGCTGACGCCCACGCCCTGTGTGCTCTCATTTTTGCATCAATTTCTAGAATCACCGCTCAAAGTACCCAAGAAGAACTACTCAAGCCAACAAAATGTAGCCCAATAAAATCATCTCACGCTTCGTGCGCTTCTTGCAGCTTCTCAAGTATCGTTCGCTCTTGGCAACAGTTCTTGCTGTCACTGCTTGATCTTGCTTTTTCATGCAAACTGCCTTCATTGTGCGGTTGTGTGCTACATTAGCAATGGCAACACTGCAAGCAAGCACGCCCTCCTTAACTCTGCGACGAAAGGGGAATACTACGAATGCAGTGCCAAAGTTTACGGACGGAACGTTGCAACTCTCCGGCATTGTGCAATTTCTCCTTCCCTAAGAGCAAGTTGTAAGGTCAGTCGATCAAGACCCTCCTATTCGTCAGTGTCTCCAAGCAGATTGCTCCTGGGTCCTGAGACAGCACGTGTCTGTAAAGGTTTAGTCTTGCCTGTAAGAATACTAGACGAGTAGCTCGTTGTTGTTCAGTCCTACTAGGAACACATCATGACAAAGGAGAAACAGAGAGAAGTCAAGCCAATAAAACCATAAACACGGTATACTGCGTTGCTGCTGTCACCGCAGATGGTGTAGCTTTCTGTCCTCCAAGCTTGCTACATAAGGAAAAGCCATCCGAACTCCAAAGCATTGAAGCCAGCAGAAAAGTGCGCATAGTAACACGTCCTAACCGTAAAAGCAACAGAAATAACAAAGTACTCCCGCCACCGCTTTCCGTTTTCTGCGTACTCTGTTTCCTCTAATGTGACCAGTCCCCTGCACCGCACACCCAGAATCATAAGGATGTCTCGCGGCTGCACCAACCATTGTGAACTTCTACATTCTGACCCACTCTATCCACAGTTTACCGTGCGAGAACAGACCAAAGAACTTCTATAGTGCCGATACATCCAACTACGATTTCTTGCGCCTTGCACGGAGTACATTAGCCAAAGCAGAGTCAGTTAGCTAGAGCAGAGCCCATTCTGTTGCTTACTCGTTGAAATTTAGGAGCTCGGCAAGAGCTTCGGCCGACAAACGGGGGCCTGTCGGTTCTGGCTGCGAATCAATCCTTTCAGTCATACGACGCTTCTGATGCAGCTGAAGCAGCTGCACCGCGGATGTGCTGTGCTCCAAGCCTCCCACTGCGAGGCAACACAGTAGCACATTTTCAAGGCAAATGAATGAAGGCGCATAATTTATCAAAAGACAGGCGCTGAGCTTTTTTTGCTGAAGCAACGCACCTAGTCTGTCGTACAGTTTAGACTTTCTATCCAAATGGCTCGCCACAGAGTGCAGGTCTTGAGTGCACTTTCCACCCTTTAGCTCGTCAGCAGCGATTCTTAAGCCGACGCCATCATTCTTGTCCGCTAACTTCCGTGTTGCCCAATCGAGCGGCTGCAGTGTCGGACAAAGCGTTGCACTAGTACTGCTACTGAAAAATGAAGTGCGGTCAAACAACTCCTACGCATAGTCTAAAGCATACGCAAATGCTTGACTAAAACTAGCTGCATCACGTTTGGAATACCTTTTTTGATGGTCGGGTCCACCTGCGAGAACAAGGAGCATCATGCGTGAAAAGCTTGCCGTCTCTGGCCGCCTTGACAAAAAGCGGCCTTTGCTCATTGAGTTGCTGCTGCTGACTCTCCTGCTGTTTCCTGATAATATAAGACAGGCGAAGCTGAGACTGTTGTGAGACACCTTTTAGAGGAATCGGACGCTCAATGGAAAGAGCGCTTTCAGTAAGCCAACCATAAGTAGAGCTCATAATGTACAGGCGGTACCTGCTGCTGATGAAAACATTAAACTTCCAGATTAGTTGGGCTGGTTTCCCGTCAAAAGACGTTTATTTGCGGGGGATTTCATAATCGGCTAGATTCACTACTGCGCTGCGGAGGATTTGCTGCAGGTGGCTGCCGAGTCGGTTACTTTCATCAGCTTCACGTACTAATGTTTGTGAACAAGCGCATTACAGACTCTCTTCGCTTTATTGTCGCCAGAGAAAAAGCGAATATCCGTATAGGCGGATATGGGGCTTAAGAAAGCCCCGCTTGTTCAACAAGCACAGAGCTTAGTTGAAGCACTCTCCGTCTATTCCGAATACTAAGAGTTCTGCTTTTGTTTCTGTATCTAGCTCAAGTATCTACTTTTCATAGTGATTGTGTGAGATTCCACATTGCCTGGAGTTTTCGAGCCTAGTTGCTATGGTATGCGCAGAGTCTGTGCTCTTTCATTCATTTGTTGCATGTGTTCAGTGTAATCACAGTAGTAGAGGCACCAGAGCACGCTGTTGAGCTAAAATTAGCCGTATATGGAGAGCGCTGGAACGTTAAACCATAAAGGGCTTTCTGAGCGGCTCCAGTGCGCCCGTCGACTTCAACCGTTAAGAGACTCTGACAGCCTGCATGGAGGTCAAAGCCACACAGTAGAGGCATTGTGAAAAGCTCCAGAGAAGGCCTGTAGTTATATTTTACTTCCTGTTCATTTCCATCCCCGTCATTCATGACAGGGTCTGACGAGGGGGCCGCGCGCAGCGACCTCCTTGCTCCGTCAGAGGGGAAGCTCGAGAGCCCAAAATACGAACCTAACGATGCAGTGGGGGAGGAAGCTAGTGAGCACTGTAGCGATACAGTGCAGCGAACAGCCTGCTCTGAACCAGACCACCGAGATTGTGCCTCTCCAGAAGTTCTTCAGCCGCCGGAGCCTGTCACTGCATCCACGTCTCCGAAGACAGGTTTAACAGATTGGGCTTCGAGCACGCCTTCTTCACCTGTAACGGCATCCACGGAATCTATGGGTGAAGCTCGTTCTCCCAAAGGAGAAAATGGCCTTTCAACAATATCTTCTGAAGGCATAGCTATTGCTGCTGGCCTGCCCTCCACAACAAGCGTTGAAAGCAAGCTATCTGATCCACCTGCTTTAAGTGTGGACAAGGCATTATCCACAGAAATTGTGGAGTCAGACATGCCGCCGCCTTCTTTCCTACCTCGGCAGTTGCGAATGAAGAGTAAGGGCCCTTTCCATCCTGCCACTCTCAGCACCCAGTGTCGCCTCTGTCAGAGGCTTTCGGTAAGGCAAGCTGTTGATTGTAGAGTCTGTGCCCTATCTTTTTTGGCTCTTCAGGAAATATGAACAGACCCCCGCGTACCCAAGCTGCACAAATGTCAAGTTTAACGGTGGCCGCAGCTGCTCAGGCACCTACAGAAGCACATGAGGGTCAAAAGAGGTCCGCAACGCCAGTAGATCGCGGGAGTGTCGAAGATGAGTTCGCCATTTTCATGAAGGAAATCCAGCAGCTTGACAGCCAGAAGGAAGCGACTGACGGCCAGAAGGAAGCGGAACACCAGGAGGCAAGCCCAAGGCAGGGGGAGGCCAGCTGTACTGAGTGCGCAGCACCAGTGAAACAGCACGATAGTCAAGCTATGGCAGTGACAAGCTCGCAGGTTAGTGAAAGGTCACAAAGGACTCCAGAGTGTGAAGCTTCAGCCGAAAGTAAAGGAGATCAAGGCCAACAGCAACAGGCAGTCTGGCAGGGAGTTCTGGACCCTGCCTCTGGTGAGACCTACTACTGGAACACAAATACTGATGAGGTGACGTGGGAGCTTCCAAGTGCCACTGTGCGTTCCGCTGCCTCTAAAAAGGAGAGAAATGGGCAGCCGCAGGAAGAGCATGACCTGAGGCAGTGGGCTGCTACTACCTTTAAACTGACCCAAGAGCTGTCGACATGCTCGGAGAAGGTGCAGCAGCTTATGCTTCAGTTAGCTTTTATCGAGTCGGAGTTGGAAGCACAGCGTGAACCGGCCAATACGGCTCACTCTGCAGTTCCCTCCGGAAAGGTTGACGTCAGCCTGCGCCTGCAGCGATTTCTCTCTGCCAAGCGCCAGCATGAAGCTGAACGTCACAAACACTCACAAGAAGAACGAGGTGGCAGTTCAGATGATGAGCTTTTGAAGGAGGTCATAGACCTCCAGCTGCAACAAGGCCGGCAGACTGACACTTCACAATGCGAAACGTGCAGGGAGCGGCTACTGGAGTCCAGAGGGACGCAGTCTCAACAAGCCAAGGTTAGCAACAATCTTGGCTTCCAGTGGATTTGTGTATTGGTTTCATATTTATAGAGGCGCACAAACAGTTTGCACAATCTGCTGGCCTGGATCAAGCCACGCAAACGTTTGACACTTCTGCGTCTGTTTTTTTTATGTCTTACAGGTCCGCTTACTGGCGTCTTCTCTTGCACGGCGTCTTGGAAACGTGGAAAAAGAATGGGCCTCATCGTTGTTAGCTGCCTTGAAGGCTCGGTTGGTACGCCGTTGTTACCCTGATTCCAAATATGTGGGATGGTTTTGCTACGTGGAATCTGCCCCCAGCTTGTCGTTGGTCATGTGACTTACTATTTCGCCTCACAACTTTTTGTCTTAGGATGACTGGATTGATGGAGGGCTGAGTAGCAGCTTTTTCTTAAAAAGGCTTGAGCGGATGCAGCACGATCTTCAGGTATGCGAGGCGCGGAGGGCTAAGAATGCCACTTTATTCGTGGCAAAGCAAGACAGTAGCTTGTAGTAGCTTGCAGCACGTGTGTGGCATACCTTCATACTTGTACTCTCAGACAAAAGCTAATTCGGAATATTTTTGTTCCTCAATGTCCTTACTGCAGAAACACCTTTCTCAAGACATGAAAGCACAAGGGCATCACCACGAGCTGGCATCAGTTTTCCCGTATTCCGCTGCCGCTGCAGCTGTATCAGCAACTTCAGCAACAAAATCGTCCCCTCGAAATTGTCTAGCTGCTGCCGCTGCGGCATCTTGGTCGGATAAAGCCAGCGGGAGTAAAGCCGGCAGCGGACGGCCCATGAGTGCTCTTAGGATTGGTGCTGCTGCGCCAAGAGGCAGCAGCAAACATAGTGACGATTCGCCAGCAGTCAGCACTGCCCCTCCTACCCCTGCAGGGCCACCCCCGACGCTTCCAGATGGAGTGCCTCCAGCAAAATCAGAACCTGCACAAGCGGAGGTGGCACCAGCAGCAGGTATGTCGCTGGCTGTATTGCACACTCTCCAGGTTGTCAAAGACCTATACCTGATTCCATCTACGCTCAGATGGGGACGCCCCTACAGCAGCCGTTTGACTCTTTCGTGCTGCATTGCATGTGTTGACTCCCGGGACCTTGGGACCTTAAGCAGCCCATTGGGCGTATTTGTTAACTCAGCATATGGTTAGTAGTGGTGTAGTTTTGTATTGCACCCTCTCAAGTTTAGTCATGGCTCTTCCTGCGTAGTATTGACTCCAGAGAGCACGGTGTACCACACTGTTGCTCGTTGGGGTATGCATCTTGGAACAAGCTGCATACGCACAGCAACTCGATGCGTCAACTCCTGGCAAAACGAAAAGTCTCCGCTAATTTCCCAACAACGGGGCGGCTCGCGCGAGCAGAAGCTGCTGCTTTCACTTCAAGGCTAGCGGCCCACAGTGGCTGCCAGCGCCCCTTTGGGCGCGTTGCCTCACGGCGACGCACCCCAACTATATCGCAGGCTCTTGGAGTGCTCAGGCAGGCTCATGATATGGTGCAGATTCAGGTATTGGTGCAGCTGCAGAAGTGCCGCAAAACATAAGTGCGGAAGTGCACTTTTTGAACCCGTGGCGGCAGACTGAAGTGCCGCATATGGCGGATGGTAGCTCACATCATACTGTATGCAGAATGTGTCGACATTACTTCCTGCTCTTTTCTCGTTTTACAGATGATTCAAGACGTCGAGAGGTAGAGGTGGCAGCTCCTGCGGCCACACGAGATGGAGCGCCGGCGCCTGGTGTGAGTGGAGGGATTGCAAAGAGACCGCACAACACCTCTGCATGCAAGAAGATCAGTTCATCTAACCCCCTTGTACGGAAACGTATGCAGCTTGTCGAGAAGTGGCAGAAGAGCAGGGAGAAAGAAGAAGAATCCGAAGAAGAGGTCAGTGCCCTAGATATCTCCACGTGAGCAGGCGACGGAGCTATTTGCCCTGTGAAGATTTCGATTGTAGCTGCCTTAACTTCAATAATTCCATGTTCATCTCCTCACAGGACTACGAGCAACGAAGAGAGAGATTAAAGCAAAAGAAGCTTGACGAGTGGAAGGAAAGAGAAATGGCCAGGTGCGTTAGATTTCGCCTTCCAGCATTTTAGAAGGACAGCGAGTCTGGAACCATTGTCTCGATTATCGCCCACGTTCAGGTGTTGGTAGGACACTGTATACTCCTTTAAGTACATCGTTAATGTCATTATCTCCAGCCTCAGTAGATCGATGAAAATGCAAAGGCGGGTTAGCAACTTCCGGCTCTGGAATTGCTTCGTGGTGCCGACCATGATGAGCTGTGTTGATTTGCTTATTTGCAGCCGTAGAGGAATGCAAAATGCGAACTTTATTGAAGTTACAGCCGATTGGCGGAGCCTGGTACAAAAGAAGTGATGAGTGCTGTGCTGAAAACCACGACAACAGAGAAGGCCCCTAGCATCCGGGCATGCGCCTTTAAGCTGCATTGCTCAAGACAAGGAGTAACCTTGTGGCGCTGTATCGTTTGCATTGCTGACTAAGGGATGCTGCTTGCGTTGGCCTGCTGGTGGCAGTGAGCCAGCTGCAGTGGCGAATAACAAGCGTATCAAAGCGTGGCGCCAGTGACGTGACGCGCTTTTTGTCTTGCCGGTGGCTGCTTCATTTCGAATAACAGACGTATTAGAATGTGGTGCCAACTTTGGAATGCGCACTTCTTATCGTGGGCACTTCTGCCTTTTGTGCGTGGGCAAGTATATCGGTGCATGCCGTGAATTGAACCAGAGTGGTTGAGGACCACACCATTTACAGTGTGCTCTACCCCAGACTTCATTCGAAGAGGATATTGGCAGCTTCTTGGTACCACTGGTGTGTTTCCTCCTCAAGAAGTATGCTTGCTTTAGGCTCACTTGATCTAAGTAGAACTCTTGTTGCACATAAACACAGCCCAACTTTACGGCAACAAGTGAGAGCTCGCTGTGGTGGTTTCGTCGTTCAGCGGTGCCTACTAGGCCTTAACCCGACAGCGCGGAAGCGGTGATACCTGAGTAATTTTTTAGGCAGCCAGCCAGGCAAGCTACTTTTGTCTGGGACTTGCATCATTTCAAAACAGTTGTCTTGGTCGTTGTTTGGAGACGGGTAGGCGATTTGCCTTATTTACTTTGAATTCGTTGTGTACGAACACAACGAGTTGCAAGTAAACGACTCTCTCACCACTGTAGTGCGATGAGAAGCGGGGGAGCCCCGTTCGTCGCTTTGTCACCTTGCCACATCGGCGTTCACGACCTCTTAACCTTAGTGGAACCGCTTTATTACTAGCCGTCGCTGGGACATTTATAACCTAACCCCTCAATTAGATTTTCCCTCTGTTTTAATTGATAGGGGTCGAGAGCCACGTAGAGCTATCATATGGACTCAGGTGACGCAACTGGCACGACGAACCAGGAACTAGTGTGGCACATTCTTTTGGCGCTTTTCCCTAATCCTCTGCCAGTGTTTTCTAGTAATCCTTTTTCTTGTTCCCTGTTAATGGGGTCTGCAACCTCATGCGGGAGAGATAGTTCACCCCTCCTCCCCCACTGCTGCATGAAGGCGAAAGGGTCCGCCACTGCGGAGGCTTCGCTATCCCTGGCTACAGCTAAAAGTCGTTTATTCGCCGTAAACAGAAAACGGAACTTGATGAGACAGGCGAGCCATAATTATCGAGGCGCTGCGGGGAGTACAGCAACATTGTTGCTGCTTAAAGCAAAGCTCGCCAGAGATGGGAAGTGCTACTGTTAGCCCTCAAGCTACCGAAGAAAACCTGGAGGGTGAATTAGATAGGGCTCTTGAGTGAAGAACTGGAGGCACAACGCAGCGGTGGCGCGAGCAGCCGTATACCGATTCGACAGACGAGAGCCGGGGGCTACTGTGCAATGTGGCAAAGACAGCTGTGCTTGTCTTCGAGGTTGTCGGGCATGAGTGCTATGCTCTTCTAGACAGAAGTACATCGCACAGTTTCATCCGCCCAATCAAATGCGAGCTGCTGGGGCTGCAGGTACGTCGCCTACACGAGACCTGCCGTTTCACTGTTGCCAATGGACAGCTTCTGCATACCGGCCGCGAGGTGACGGTGCTGTGCATGCGTTGTGGAAGCGGAGAATTTCCTCGTGGACCGGCAGCTTGTGACATTTTCCTAGGGCTAGGTTGGCTATTGGACCATAGGATGCCCCGGTACTCTCAGCCCGATGAGCTTGGAACGTGTATAGCTATCTACTAACCAACACACGAGGCAAAAAAGCAGCACAAAGAGCCACTGAATGCGCGGTTACGGACCTCAGCTGAGCATGCCTGCAACGTGATGCCCCAATAGCTCCCACGTGTCTACAGCAAAGGCTACTAGGCTTCTTCGTTACATTCAAAAACGCTTCAAGGCTAACCGCAGAGCTAATTTCAGGCTCCTCGTGAAGGAGCTCCTGCGCGAGGCTCAGGCTGATACAACACACCTACCGAGTGCACTGCGGGAGCTCAACAGTATCACGGCGTTACCGGGTGTGAGGAAGTTGACCAGTATCCACTTGCGTAGGGAGTGTCAAGGACCGCCCCCGTGTGCATCTGCAGAACAGTGCAACTTCACCCTTACGTTCTAGTCGCGTTTCCCACTTCATGCCTATCTGCAAGGAAAGACTACCAAGCAAGGGTAGCCTTAGCCCTGCGCCACCATCCATAGATGCACTTCGATGAGCAGATAACGCCTGAGGACACCCCTGCAAAGACTCTAGTTGCTAAAAGAACATCAAGCAAAGCCCGCAAATAGTTTATGTGCAGGGCAGCCAACAAAGCATCAACATGACTATCGCAGCCAACTAGTGCCAGACAAGCTCCCGAGCAGGCCCCGATACGCAGGGTGCCAATGGAATGTGTAGCACTGCACAAGTAACAGATATCGAAGTTGCCGCTAATGGATAAGTGGGCCCGACTTAGTTCCTTAACTGTGCTCCGAGTATCATGTTTAACAAAAGCAAAGACGCTTTAGGCGGCATGCTCGCCAACTATCAGGCATTCAACGCCTCCTCTACGTTCTGTTCAAGCTGGTCTGGGAAATCTGGAAAGAGCTACATATTTCTATACGTATGGTGTCAAAGTTTGTTTTCACCAAAGTAGCATGGCCAAGGAAGACTGGCGAAAGAGTGCGCCTGTCTCAGCCGTGGGGCTCTTCGGCGCCCTTGAGAACAAAGAGCTGCGCGATATTATCTCAAGGGCGCCCCGGGCTATCTCTCATCCAAGTATCAACACTCAGTTCCACCCTTTGCTAGACCAGTGTGTCTCTGCGTACCTTGGCAATGCATTGATTTATAATTCCGCTCTCCCCGCAGTGTTTATTTTCTGCAGAAGGTGCTCAGCGTCTTCATCAAGCATCAACTAGTTCCCATGTTCCGTAAGCGCAAATTTCGTAAGCACGATTTCACTTGCCTCAACTATACCATCAGGTTTAAAGATATCAAGCCGGCCGCTGACAAGGTATACGCTGCTCAGCTGCTCGGGGGTTGCTGACTAACAAGACACAAGTAGGGTGACTTCCTAATGCTACTATCGCATGTTCGTGGGTCCTGGCTTTGAAGACATCATACGCCCACCTGTTTACTTCACAGACAAAGGCATCCATTCTCAATGGACAGAACTTTAACGCACACGCTGGATAATGCCTTAATCGAGTATACGGCCTCACAAATCCGACACTACAAAGCCCTTCGAGTTCTATATCGGCGCACCACGATATGCAACGGGTTCAGTTCTCCATCGACCACACAAAACGATTTGCCTCCTCAGCCGAGGAATTGACCTCGTGTAGCACAAAAATTTGCCATTCGACGAAGAGCTCCTCGCCTTAATCGCCGCTCTGAACAAGTGGTTTAACTTGCTACGCGCCGCTAAGGCTTCGCGTATATCGACCAGAAGGCTCTCACTTGCAGCAGCAAACAGCGTCAAAGCCTTTACGTGGTCTTACCACTCGTTGGCTAAGTTTTCTAGTGGAATCTCAAGTTCTCATAATAACACGCCTGCAAGGTACATATAATTGGGTGATGAGCTGTCTCGAAGTCTACGGTAGCCTTCCTTGTCTGCTACCAGTGGCGTCTCTGAGGCTGCAGTGACTCTAGGCGAGATAACTTCATTAGCGCTCTTGACCAAACGTCAGTAACCAATTTACAACTCGGGGAAGTCACGCAGGGTATAGAGAGACCGCAGCGGCAGGGCTTCGTGTAACTTGGTAGTACCTTGGCGGGAAACCGCCTTAAGTTTTTCTTACGCACGACACCCCAAATGCCAGCATCCTTCGTTCCACAAGCGTTGCACACATTCTTTCCCTTGCGGAGCTTCCCAGTCACGCGCAACAGAACCTCTTGCAGCACTGCAGTCTCTTGCATCGCTTACGTCAGCACTTATTACAGCAAAAACGGCACTCTTTTGTCCAAACATATTCACAGCATGCGGCGAATCTGTGGATCAAACCCACTTGAATTCCTTACGCACGTGCTCTGCAATCACAAGAATCACGTTGCAGCTGCCCACCGCATACAAAAGCGGACATTCCTTACCGTCAGCAAGCATTACTATTGGCGGGGCATTCGTCACTATACTGCAGCATACGTGGAATCCTGCGTTCGCTGTATCTCCAAATCAATCAGATGCCTGCAGAATTCCTTCAGCAAGCAGTCATTCCCTTTCTTCGTTGGAGCCACTTGATTCCAAACCTGGCGCCTCGTCTGCCTTTCACAGTCCCCAGCAATGATTCCAATACTGTGTTCGTTGTTTATTCACGCAAAATGGCTAACTTCAGCCGGCAGCAGCCGACAACGTTGAGGTTCTTGCCCAAAACTGGCAGGGAGTGCAGGTTGCCAATGATGCCGCCGTCGTGGCATTCAAGTGAGCCATTTTATTTTCGAGAAGTGAGCACATCTTGGCCGGGCGTGCGTGAAGAGAACGAAGTAAGCCGTTTCACTCGCTACCATAGGTTCCCTTATGTATTTATTCCAAAAGATGTCCTCGTTTTCAGTCCGAATTATGGCAACAGACCTGCAACCGGTTCAGCATCAAGTTCTCCACATTCTCTGCCTATCACTTTGAGAACGATGGACAAACGGGACGAGTTAACTGTACTCTGTTTCGTACTTCGCTCCGGCTGCTTCTCACTTTCATTCAGTATGATGAGCAAGAGCAAGAACTTCTCCCCGCTCTCGAACTGGCATACGATACAGCCGGCCACTCTTCACACAAACTCTCTCCCCCTGAAATCATGTTAAGCCTGAACCGTATGTAACCAGCCTCGGTACTGTTAGTTTTTGGGCGCTGACCCTTACACTCTAAATGGCCAAACTGTTCGAGCGACTCTGTCTGCGGGCTTAGTAGAGTTATGTTGGCCGAGCAAAGTGACAACGAAAGGCGTACGCTGACACCAAACGTGGTGCCATCGAGTGTATCATAGGTGACACGGCATGGCTATTAATAAACGCTAACGCGCTCTCACTAGTTCGAGCTTTGTTCCTGCGGCTCCTCCACTACCACA